CGGACAAAGAGATCGAAGGAGGAGATAATCTGATCTGCGTGCTTCTGGTTGACATTGGCAAGGATAGGGTCAAGATGTTGTCCTGAGGAGGAAGAAGAAACGCTAGGAAGGTGTTGACATCGACGTATTCTCTTGTTGGGGTCTGAAGAAGCCTCCATGACCATGATAGATAAGAGAACGTTGGAGAAGGAAAGATATTTAGGTTGATTACATAAAAAAAGAAGAATTGTTTAACTTATATATAAGTAGACTCTGGTCAACTTTTTTTTATTGCTGCTATTTAAAGATAAATTTGTTGACATAAACAAAAGAAAATTTAAATGGTTACAAATTTATGTCAAATGGAGTTATGGTAGTCCGAAATTATAGTTTGACTAAACCATATGGTACATTCATAAAAGTTTGACTCAACCATATGGTACATTCATAAAGTTTGCCTAAACCATATGGTACATTCATAAAGTTTGCCAAAACATTATCATTGCTCTCAATCAGAATATTACATAGAGAAACCCGGGCCCATTTTGTAAATTCAATTAGACTTCTTTAATCATCAAACTAGTGTTGTAGATGACTAGAAATTGACCCGCGTTACACCGCGGGATTTAATATTGAACAAGTTTTATTTGATGTTAGTGAATAGAGTTATTGGAATTTATTTGATGTCAGCTTCAGAAGTCTTTGCAGCTGGATTTTTTTATTCTGGTTTATCATTAAATATTTTATAAAATCCATAAAAACTAAAAGTAGAAACAATTAAATCGGGAATTGTCTAGAACGTTTTATATTCTTTGATATTTTTTATTCATTGCAAAAGTGACATGATATCATTTGATGCGTAACAGTTGAACGGTAATAAAAAGTCATAGCAAATCCCGCAATTTAAAAAAAAAAATTAAAAAAATATGTCGCTCCAGAAAGTGACATGATCTTATTTAATCTGGATAAGTTTTTTGCTGTGGAAATTCTTCTATACTATTGTCTTTTATTTAAATATTGTTGTCAAATTCAAATGAAATAAGTTAAAATGATGAGATTAATCAAATATCTTAGAATAAAAATTGATGCATGTTTTTCTCATTAAATTTTACTTTTACGAATAAAATTTGGATAATAGTTTTAGATACCCGACCAACCTTTATATCAATCTGATTGTATCTAAATTTTATTTTATGGATAAATTTTGGATAATAGTTTTTGATACCCGATTAAATTTTACCCACTAATGCTTGATCCTAAACCTGCAATGTATTTTTGATAATAGTAAAATAACATTTTTATAATAGAAACATGAATAAAATATATCATTGTGGCACGGGTTTCATTTTGCTTTTGTTTTTCGAATATGCATAGTACTATATTTATGTCTCATACCACTTATATGAGCAAACACCATCATCAAACAATTTTCAACACAAGTACAAAATGCTGATGTGTCATGACTTAGAGAGAAATAAGGGGTTTTGTTGTATTGATTCTCAATAAACTTTTTAAGGAATGAAAGCTTTTAAATTTGGGTTTTTGGATTTCGTCTGACTGATATCATTGAGTTAATAATCTTTTAAAACACTGGAATAAAGAAGGATAATTGGACTTTGATTGAAATTGTGGGCTCAAGTATGTGAGACAGGTGATTCATATGTCCCCATGACGTAACTTGTTCTGAATTCTATCAAAACATTTTCTCAATGAGTATCCGAAATTCCCCAAATGCTTTGTGATTTCTTCGGTAACGATGTTCGCCTATAACAACTGAAAAACACACAACATAAGAAAACTCAATATACGACTCAAAAGTTCCACCTCAGTCTCATTTGATACTCCAAAATCTGGGCTTGAAAAAACGCTACTTCGTTAATCAGTCAGAGTTAGTTCATGAAATGATCAATTTAGGCTTTGGCAATCACTAATTCGAGAGCTTTAAAGGATCGAGAAGGATAATCATCATGGTTGATTCATCATCGTTACGTCAATATAACGTTACCTCTTTCGTGGTGCTTCTTTCTCTTCTCTTTTGTTTCCTTTTTTGGGTTTTGTCCTTCTCCTTTTTCCTTTTGTCTGCATAAACAAAAGGACTACAGTTCAAGTGTTTCTCGAAGGACTACTAATGACAAATAGTGTAATGAATTTTATGGTTATGAAGAACTCATATATCAAGCCCCTTGCTCCTAAAAAGTCGTGTATATCAACATCATAATCCAGTTTCATAAAAGTCATATTCATGGCCTATACAATCGACAAATGAGTTTCCTAAATGGTAATAGAAGATATCTAGTGAGTTTTTTCCTGAAGGCTAAGCAGTTTTTAATGTTCAAATCAAAATTGTTCATAACACAAAGTACAATGAAGACTTCTTCCTTTATCATATATAAAGGAAGAAGTATTGTAGATGATTAAGACTTCTTCACATCATCAGCCTTCTTAAATTTATATCGTTGTTTGCCCTAAATGAAGGTTTATCAATCTTGTCAACTCATTTTGTTCATAATTTAATCATTTAATCATTTTGCTCTTTGTACTGATTGTATTGAGAATTTTGTGAGGATAATGTACCAAAACACTTGCACGATTAGAACAATTCAATCCCACAGGTTTATACTTTGAGATATGAAATAAAAGGAATTAATCAATATAGTACATAAAGTAGACTAAACAAGAAACCAGATTTATGTCAAAATATTAACCTTCATTCATAAGATGATGACAGTAAAGATATCTCAAACGTCCCAAGGGACAACAAGTTGCTACTCATATCTTCGTAGCATTTGAGATATCAATCCAAATGGGTTAAGATAAGAGCACTAGGTATGCAAAAAATTTAGTAAACTAAGCAAATTCAAAGAGGGGTTTTTATTTAGCAACCGAAATAAGAATCAAACATAAACCTTGAAGAAAGAACTTAAAACAATATGTCAAACTCAAGACATAAATACAAAAACGAAAATGAAAGAAGTACAAACAAGTTAAGCAAATGGGTCTTAGGATGGAATCATCAAACTAGAGAGACTCTTTGAAAATTACCCTAGAATATGGCATCACGGTCATTTTTTAGTTAAAAGCAGTGTTTTGAAAACTGACCTGGTGGTTAGACCGGGTTTGACGAACCCGACATATGACCAGGTTGGGTTTCCCGTTTGGTTTAAAAATAATTAATTCGATAAGTTAATTAATTATTTTTGTTCATAATTATTTTAATCATATATTTCACAAAATTTAATATTTTTAATACTATTATATTTATATTTATACCCATATATCAATTATATTTATATTTATACCCATATATCAATTTTCAACTATTTTTATTTTTATTTTAACATTTATATGTTTAAAAATAAATATGACATAAACTATTATGAATCAGGTTCAACCTGGTCGAACCAAATTGAACCATGACCCGGATGCTTATCCGATATGCCTTTCGGTCCGGTTTTAAAAATACTGGTTAAAAGAGACAAAAAAAGTGATAAGGATGGGCAAATTACCCATGATCCAAGATGCGTTTCGGATTTGTTTATATATATAATCTATAATCTTTATAAACTACATAATAAAATTAATAGAATAGTATCTCAAAATATCACCAAAACTAAAATCAATACTATTAAAACTGAGTCACAAAGGGTATTCCAGTCAGGAAATTTTCGGAGCTAAAATGAGTAATTTACCAAAAAAACCAAACAGATAACAAAGAAAAAATGTTTGGAAACAGGAATAATCAGGGAGTTTTTAGTTAGAAATTTCGGAGAAAAACTGAGCCGTGTCCCTGTGTGATTATCCCTGTGTCCAAACAGGAAATAACCCGAAATTAACAACTTAATCGAGAAAAAAAATCCGACCCGAAGCGAAGAAAACAGACGTGGATCTTTGTGAAACAAACTTAAATTTAAATTGAACCGGAACAACAATTAAATTTTCGGACCGGAATTGAAAGATTAATAATCGAGATAAACAGAAACAATAAACCAAAAAAACATGTAGACTATTTAAGAATCCATTTTGATCCCATTTTGATCCCACGGGCTGCGTCCACCTACATTTATTCAAAACGCTGTCAAATTGGCTTTAATTTATGTGATAAGTAATCAATGAGAAACATATTTTTCGGAATCTAAATATTCGATTTGTGTTATCATGCAAAAATATCCCGTAAAATATTTTTCTTTCTAAAAAAATTATCCCGTAAAAATATGCTGAATCTTTAATTTGAATAGCTTGAGTAATTGAAAATCAGAAATTAGAAAGTGATTTATTTCACGAAAAGAAAACAAGGAAACTAATTTATCACATAAATGCAATTGTGATAAGGGAAATTGGCAAAATGACCACCAAAAAAATTAGAATTAAGAATATAACCATTTCAAACTAATGGCTACAATATTCTGTGTATAAAATATAATATGACGAAATTACCCTTAAAAATAAAAAGAAACAATGTTCTTAATTTTTTTTTCTTTTCACTTCAGCTTTTTCTTTTTCTTCTCTCTCCCTCACGATCCAATTTGTTTTGCGGACCTTTCTTCCTCCCTTTGATTGAATTTCATCTTTGGCTTTGATTTTTCTCAATGTTTTTTTTTATTTCAGTTGATGTATTTATTTTCCCTAGCTTTACTCTAATTGGATTTCTTGATGGTCTGCAGGGTTAAAAATACAGTGTTTAGGTTTGATAGTGTAGGGTTTGGGTTTACCAATTCGTGTTTAGGGTTTATTGTTTAGTTATTTGGGTTTGGGTTTAGAGATGAGTTTAGGGTTTATTGTTTATTTGGGTTTAGGGTCTCTTTATTTCGGTTGTTGTATTGATTTACTCTATCTCTAATCAAATTGGATTTCTTTGTGATTTCATGCAGTTTCTCTATTTTGTGGGTTATTGTGAAAGTTGGGTTCTAGGGTTCTTGGAAAGTTAGAGATGAAGCAAATGGGAGACGATTCTGGTGACCGCTACAACGAGTCTAATCTAAGCCTTATATGAAATCTCATACTTCAATTCGCTATCAAGAAAATCAATCGGATTGTTGACTATTCTTCTCTTTGCTAATGTTGTTTAATTTCTGTGTTTGGACTGCTATTCTCTTCCTGTTTGTATCAGATACAATGCACGGAAGCGCTAATGAACACACGATTCCCGCTTCGGAATCGGAATCGGAACCGGAAGCGCACGGAATCGCTAAGGAATCGTGATTCAGGAAAACTGGAGTTTGGGTACGCAGTGGAATCGCACGAACCCGAGTTGGAAGCGAGATCTTGGTAAATTGGAAGCGTTGAGGCAGTTCTAAGACCATAAAACCAGATCGAATAATTGGAGAAGATGAACATTTAGTACTGCCACGTGCTCTTTAATTTTGGGCTTTTAATTATTCTTCTTTTACTATGGCCCATTTATTCTCAAAGTTTGTTTAATTAATTTTCTTTTTGACTTTTTAATACATTTTGAATGTTTCTAGTATTATAAAATCTAATAATTAGAAAATCCATTAACAAACACCTAATTATTAATTACCTATTGAATTCAAAGAAAAAATGTTAGATTACAATATTTAAACTATTGGATTTTTGTTGTTTAAACTTTATAACATTTTTTGAAAATATGATTATATGTTAGATGTTGTGAGATACAAATATATCTATTTATGCATACTATTATATATATATATATATATGTATACGCTTCCAACATGTACCCACTTTCTAAGTTTTTAGAAAAACTCGCTTCTACGCTTCCAAACGCTTCTGCTTCCGCGTATCCGCTTCCGATTCCATGCAGCTTCTCTCTATCGAATAGAAAAGAACTTGGATACAAGGCTATTTTCGTCCACACAAACCTGAAATGGTTACTTATTTCATTATGCCATTTAGATGGCTATATTCTTCATTATAAGTTTCAATATGGTTATTAGGCAAATTAACCCTTGTGATAATATATTAGGAAATCATTGACTAGATAAATATGATAGTCAATGGAGGAAACTTCTTATATACGATTTGTTTAGATTTTTGGAGTTTAACCTAATTATTTGGCCTATAAATCAAGCCTTCGTTTCATTTCCAATGTCATCACAATTTTTTGTGAGGTTTCGTGTCGAGTTACATAGTTGTGCAATATTTTTTTATCAGTGTAGAATATAATATTAATATTCATTGATGTTTCTGATTTGCAGGTGAATGAAAGATAAGGACCTTGAGGTACTCCTGCAAAGTGCAAATGAATTTCAAGGATCTTGAGGTACCTGCAATCGTGTCATCTCCCGAGAAGAGAAGATTCGTAAGCCTCTATAAAAAAATTGTTATTTAGGCACTATATATGTATTGTTATACCGTTCTCTTAATGTTTCATCAAACAAAAGAGATTATCGAATAAAGCTCTTTCTCTTTTTTTTTTTTTCAGCACTCTAAATCTGTTTATTTGTCTTTTCGAGGAACATTCATCATGTTTGGCATAAAAAAAAGATGAACAAGGTAACCAAAAGAATTAACATTTTTTATACATATTTCCTTTCAAAATCACTTAAAAATTGTGGTCTTGGCTTTGATGTGTCGAATTTATCTACTTCTTTACAAAGAATTTTCAGTGTGTAACCAAACAATGCTCCATTTTTGCTTAAAAGTTTGCCGGACCATGTTTAACTATTCCAAAAGTTGAATATTGATACTCTTAGGTTATCCTGAGATTAACTATTCATAAAGTTGAACATGTTTAACTATTCAATGCTCCATTTTTGCTTCAAATTTTGTAAGACCATGTCCCATATTCAAAGTCTAAGTGTGTAACAAAACAGTGCTCCTTTTGGCAGGTCTACTGCTAAGTTTTCTGGGTTTTATTTTCTGTTTAAAAAACTTGAACCTTGTGTCACTTGATTGACTCTTTTAGTAAGATCGTTGGGTAATAAAATCTGAGACTTGAAATTTAGTTCATTGGGTGTAAGGGATCATACTTTATATTTTTGTTAATTGTGTATTTTTGTGTGTGTGTGATTCACATGCTGAATCTATAAGTTGAATCAATATTCTACGGGATATTTTCTTTTTAAATCATGGTTAACAACATCACGTGTCAGAACCAATATTCTTTTTAAATCGGGGTATTTTCCGAAAGACATAAAAAATAACATATCAAATCAAATGTGAAAATTTGTAATTTTGACTTTAACATGTCTCATGGATAAATTTACAAAAGAAGAGAAAAAATATGATATTGTCTACAAATTATAGATTTTGATATGAGATCAAATTGAGAAGATATTATTTCTATGCTTCACGGGTCAGAACCAACATTCTTTTAAATCCGAGTTTTTCTGAGAGACATAAAAAAAGAACGGATCAAATCAAATGTGAAAATTATAGATTTTATATGATATTAAATTGAGAATATATTATTTTTTATGTTTCTTCGGTACTGATCATGATTACATACAAACTATAAGAATTTGATTCGTTTATGTCGTTCTGTCGACACACATCAAAATTTAATGCAATGATCGTGAAAATTAACTTACCAATATCGACAAAATTATTAATTATCAGTTTTATTAACGAAAAATCACACCGGTTAGGCCAAAACTTATCTCATTAAGACAATAATCTATTAGTAGCAAAAGTCCATCATTTTACCGTTATGACCCAATAAGTCCTAATATAATACATAACCGAAAGATCTATGATCGCATATTTATTTTATCCCATACTTAGATAATCAAATAATATTAATTTATCATTATATATCATAAATACAATATTATTTATTCTACAATAATTATTTTTTTTTATCAAAAATTTCAACATCCCGTGCTTCAAGCATGGGTCAAGATTATTCCTAGTCATAACTGGCTTTAATGTGGAGTTTTCACCACCTGGTTTCCGATTCGCTGTTAATGAACAAACCATCATCTTGACCGGCGAAACAGACCTGCACAATGGTTATGGTGTTTTCAGAGACCACTACATGAACTTCAAGAGATACAATGATGTCATGAATGGAGTCTATAGCTCACACTATCCAATAGGTATGTCAACAAAAATGTATTTATATGCACATAAACTTTCTTACATATCAATTATATATGCAGTTATTTTGGATTGAATTGTTGTCTTAAATTATGCTTGGTAATTTTCGTAGATCTCATAGGCTACCTAGAAAACGTTGGTGAGTTAACTGTTGTGACAGATCAAAGCTTTACGCTCTCTAATGACAAGAAAACAAACAGAGTTACATTCACGATTAAAGATTTGGAGTAAGTTTAACGGATTACGTTCAATTAGTTCATTTTACAGTGCCGAATTATAATGATTTGATTATGTTTCCGACTAACAACTTTTTGGGACGTAATGTGGAATTAGGGAAGAGGTTTTGGAATGCAAAGCTTATGGTGCATTGGCTTTCCAATTGTACGACAAATGGTGGAAGCATGGTACAACCGAGACATTCATCACAATGAGTGACTGGGTTGTTTACATGGACCGAAGTATGTACCATTACCTTATTTTTAATAGTTTGATACATTTAAAACTGCAGACAATAACACCTGGATTGATTTAACTAAACACCAACTAAATTACAATTTTCAGGAACAAATGAGATCAAGATTAAGGATGCTGGAGGTATCTCTAGGTTTGAGTTCAATGCTCCTTACCAGGACGTATATGATTTCAGCTCAGCATAGTAAGTGACAGATTATTTGACATGTTTATTGAAAGATATATGCGTGAATCTCTTTTTTGGTAAGTAATATAACTTAAACTGAAATGTAAATATCATTTGCAGTTTTCATGACAGTGATGGTTCTTCGGTTGAGATAATAGAAAATCTGTCTCCATGAACACAAGGTTCACTTCGACGAGAAACAGTGCTCTGAATCATTATCTAATCAAATACTCTGTTCCCGTTTGTGTGAGTGTTTTCAAAAATAATTTCTCCAGCCTATCGTTTTCTTTTGTTTCAGCTACTTAATTGTATGCTTCGTTATGTAAGATCTTTGAGATTTCGACTTCAATAATTAGAGATGATTCAATTTACCTTAATGTCTTCCAACGATTTACTTGGGTCAATGTCGATTTCTGGTATAAACGGATGGAGAAGGATAATCACCAACTCCAACAATACAACAAACAAACACACATCAAAGTCAATTAAACTATACATCAAATTCACATCTACTAAAGCAGAATACAAACACATATACCTGAATAAACTCCTCGAAATTCACTTCGAGTTCTCACGTCCACGACTCGAAATTGTAAATTCACGACCTCTTTCATCTTAGGAGCAATATCAATCCGCGATTCGACCAGGTTGTAGTTACAACAGAAGAAGAGAAAAGAGGATATAGAATTTGTTTGAGAACAATTAATCGATTAACGATTTAGGGTTCGGTTTGTAAACGGCTCCCAAATTCGAAATTTTTATTTGCAAGTATGAGTAAATAACAAAACGATGTCACTTTACTTAGGAGACATCTAATACCCATTCAATTTTGAATCCGACCCATCTACAAATCGAAGAATGAGCCCAAAATATCAATAATCAAGATTTTTTTTTTTTGTCAGCCCAACAATATTTCAATAACCCGTGCTGTGGCAGCACGGGTCAAGATCTAGTTTGTTTATTAAAACTGAATATTTTAAAGAACGTTCATGAGATATATGCTCCAAAATATTTATCATGAATTAATTTGAATTTTTATATGATATTTTCTATATAGTTTTTTAATTTAGTTTATGGTTTTTGAATACTTTAGTAATATTATTTTTATTTTTATCAAATTTGACAGATCCCCCAAATCTGAGTATACGAAAATTTCAGAGTATCCAATACGTGCTAATTACCCCTAGCAAGTAATGACTAGAAGAGCCAAAAGCTTGACCTTTTGAAATATTTTTGAGCATATACCACTAAACTAATGAATCGTTACTAAAGTGACCTGACTTTTAGAATCATATATTGACTCTGGTTTAACTCAATATAAAAAAAAACCTTAGAGTATTTTTCTACCAAACAAAAAATAAAACAAATTTTACACCAACATGTAGTTATGACTCACTCGTTAAACGGCCCAAAACCCACACTAGTAATGAAAAAATTCGTGCACCTCTCTGTCGACTGTCATTTGCTCACTGGACCGTTCCAAATACAAACACACCAATCGTGTACACAAGTTGTAAACATCGTTTTAAAAGTAGTAAACAAGTGGAACACGTCTTTTTAAAACTACTAGGTTTGAAGCCCCGTGCAAGCGCGGAGTTGTTTACGATAGTTTTTTCCATTTAATTTTATTTATACTCGTTGACTTGAATTATAATGGTTTTGTGTTAACTTTCATATTTTGTTATGTTTTGAGTTAACTCAACACTAACACTAAAAAATATGAATAATTTGATTTTTATTTTAATTTATTAGGATATTAACACCCCGCTTTATCTCGAGTTTTCTATTTCTAAAATTTTATCATGTTATAATATTATGTTTGTTTACTTTTTTTTTTTACTTCTATTAGACTGTAAACATGTATATGTATTTGATTGAAGGTTAAAATTTATAAATATGTATATGCATTTGAGTGAAGGTTAAAATTTGTAAACATATTCTTGTTTTTCACTACAATTAAATTTACTTATAACACTGCATTTTTATTTGTTTAGAAAAACAAACTCTAAATCTGATTTTTCATTAACTTTCTATTATCTTAATTAATTTACATTCAACATTTTAACTTGTAAACACATTATAACATTTTTAAATAGGATAAATCTTTTGAATAAAAAGGTTAATATATACTATTTGAAGTTAAATATTTCTTTACTTCATCTCTATTTTATATTCCATTTTTTTATAACTTTTAACATTAAATGATCACATACTTTCTATAAATTAATTAATTTATTTGTATATTTTTATTAAATGTGAATAAATGTAAAAAAAAAATATGAATAATCATATAATTAATAAATATTTTAAATAAAAATTAATGTTATTGTGCTGATGTGGACACTCTAGATGGAGAGAGCAACTCCCTAATTATATATAAGATTCCAAAAAATTAAATTGAAACTTATTCAGAAATTGAATTGGTTTCTTGAAAAAGAGGATATATGATTATTTGGTTACATAAATCTCAACATGTCGTTCTTTATTTGGTAACATCATAACTTGCTTACCTATTCCAGAACTGCGACATAAACAAAAATAGCTTTGATTTAAGAAAAAAAAAACAAACAATGAAAAAAGTGAAGCCCTAATTTCGTTTTTCTCTCTCAAGTCTAGCCCGCTTCCCTTTTTTCAGATCTGGAGATCGGTGGCCGGTGGCTTCCAAAGCACAGTCGCCGGTCTCTCCTTTCTTTCTTCCTTCTTTCTCCCTCTCTTCTCCTCCGTCGCTCTGCTCGTGGAGGTTGTTTATTTGGCTTTTGCTTTGGCTTCGCCTCTGGGCTCTATCGTTTGTTTGTGCAGTCGCGGCGGACCGGTCGGCCGATCTCTCGTGGTCCGGCTCAATAGAGCGACGGAGCGGTTCTGCCGATTCACCACAGAGCTCTGTTTGGCTGGTCGCTCCCTCCGGTGTTCTAGTTCACGAGTTTGGGTTTTAGCTTTCGAGGGTTTTTGTGCTTCTACTGCTCTCCGATCCATCTGCAGTTCTTTGGCCTTGATTTCGGGATGCTATTGTGAAAAGTTATTGCTGTGGAGGTATCTGCTAGGCTTTCTCTCCTTTTGGGATTGGGTTCTTTGACGATGCAGCGGTTTCGATCTTCAAGTCTTCTCTTGCGAGGAGGTGGGAGTCTCTGTTCTGTAGGTCGCAGAGGCTGGTATTCACAGTGTCCGTGTGTAAGAGTTGTTGATCTTCTTGGCGTTTTTCCCAGGTGGCTTTCTTTTCCTGCGGGTTTTGGAGCTTTTGTTGTTGTGCTGGTCTTTTTCTGCTTTTCTTTAGTTGGCAGTAGTTTCTAGTCTTGCGGTTGGTGAGATCCTCTGTTCTTTGTTTGCGCTTGTGGTGCGCTTGTTTCGGCAGTTTGTTTACTGCTTTGGGCTTGGAGTATTGGTTTGGGTGTATTCAAGCTTCCTTGGTCAGTTTTGGGGATCATTAATCTTCAGGTTCAGATTTAGCACCTCTCTCTCTATCTAAGTTCCCTTCTCGTTTAATTATCGTCTTGCCTCCCTTGTTTGGGCTTGTGTCTCCTAATTTATTTAGGCTAATGTTTCCCTTTGTGGGATTTGCTCCGGGGATTTCTCTTTGTTCCGTTGACCTTGTAACTCTTGTTTGGTTTCTTCCTTCGTTGTAAGGTTAATAAATCTTTAGATGAAAAAAAAAAAAAAGAAAAAAGTGAAGACAGTAGAGAGAATCGTTGTGCCACGGTCAATGATGTTTTTCCCGATCAGGCAAATATAATTAATTTATTACTATAAAACAAAGAAACAAAAACTTTAAAGAAATGACAAAAGATAATATTATTCTATAGGACCAACTGAAAAAGTAGCAAAATCCCAAAGGAATACAAGACTTAGAAAAATCTCGATCGCCAAAACATTTTTCAAATACCACAAAAAGTAAATTTATTATTACGGTGGTAAGGTTAATACTTAATAGGTATTTTTGTTTTTCAGGTTCCATATAATTACAGATTTCCCTTTTCACAAATCACTTGTTAGTATTTTTTTAATGTCTGTAAAATTTATTATTCTATTATAATCTACATAACTAATAAGGCTTGGACAATCTCCAGCCTTTGACACGTGGCACTTTTTTTTTTTTCGCCTAACACCAAAACGACGTCGTTTTGCGCTTTATTTTTTTTTTTTTATTTTTTTTCGTCTTACACCAAAACGACGTCGTTTTCGTATTTAAAAAAAAAAAAATCTAAATCAAAATTATGTGTAATGCTGTTCGTTTTGATGGGCTTGATTATTTATCGGACCTCTTCGTTTCCATGGTAGCTTTAAATGGGCTTACTGGCTAATTAGCTCATTTCATTTCCTTTTAAAAAGGATTGCAATTATTATTATCTATGAGTCTGTAGGATAATAATCAATCTATAATGATTGTTAGTATAAGGAAAATTAGAAGAACTCAACTCCAGTCGATAAATTATTGTATAAAAGAACAAAAAACATATGAAACTATTCACTATGAGTCTATATAAGATTTCACGTAAATAACAACTAAATTTTAAAACTATATGAAAAAAAACAAAATGCAAAACTTACAGAATCTAATATATTCGAGTAAAAAACAAATGATATATTCGAATCTAATGTTCTGAATAATTAAATTAAAAATATTTGGTTTAATAAACCCGCGCATTGCGCGGGTTCTCTCCTAGTTAATACTAAAAAACAACAGACATTTATAAAGATGAGACTTTGTAGAGATCTTTTTATCTGCTCTATATTCATAAATCACAATCACAATTCGCAATTTCAAGTTTTACACATAAAATAACAGAAAATTACATCACACTAAACTTTTAAAACACATGAACTTTTAAAATAAAGTTAAAACACTACTTATTAGTTATTACTCCCTTTGTTTCTTTAAAACAAAATTTCTAACATTTTTTGTGTTCAATAAATTTTATAGATTTGAAAGTATACTTTCTTGGGTTACTGTTGGTTTAAAGTTGTTTAATTTAGAAAATTTATATATTTATGATTAAATTTTATTTTTTCTTTAACATATGTAAAAAATTTAGAAAATTTATCTCATTTTGGAAAAGGAGTATATAAACATCTTTTATTTTAGGTTTCTTTGTTGGTTAAAAAAACAAAAAGGTTTCTTTGCTAAAACTGAAATATATTTCTTTATTTACTTTCTTATGCATATAATAAAACTTTTTTCAAAGTGGAACGCTTTCATTTGGCATTGAGCATCAAATTCCCCACCATCCCCTCTCCTACTTCACACACATCTTCTTCATCATCGTCAAAGATTCAGAGAACTGTTGCTTTTCCTTCAGAAACCACAACGGCTTTGTCTCTTCCAATGGCGTTATCTCTCTCCGTCACACCTTCATCTTCATCTTCCCCAACTCCTAATTTCAAAACAACCCATCTGAATTTCGCTTCCCAGAGAAGGATCCACGCCATTAGTCCTCTCCTTAAACCCTTCCATTGTCTTCAATTATCCTCACGAGACCTAAACCCGTCTTCATTCTCAATCTCAGCTATAGCCTCCTCTTCTTCTTCCTCACAAACCACAGAGCTCGTACCTCATAAGCTCCAGAGATTAGTCAGAGAATTCAAATCCTTAACAGAGCCAATCGATCGGCTCAAATGGGTTCTCCGTCACGCGAATCTCATTCCTCGGATGCCCGACTCATCTCGCACCGAGTCGAACCGAGTCATGGGCTGCACGGCTCGCGTCTGGCTCGACGCTGAGCTAGGTCAAGACGGAAAGATGCGGTTTTCGGCGGACAGTGACTCAGATGTCTCCAAAGGGATGTGTTCTTGCTTGATCCAAGTGCTTGATTCCGCTACGCCTGAAGAAGTTTTGGAATTGAAGACTGAGGATTTGGCTGAGCTTAATGTTGGATTGCTGGGAAGTGAGAGGTCGAGGGTTAACACGTGGCACAATGTTCTTGTGAGTATGCAGAAGAAGACGCGACGGCTTGTGGCGGAGAGAGAAGGAAAAGCTCCTTCCTTTGAGCCGTTTCCTTCATTGGTTTTGACTTCTGATGGCATTGAGGCTCAAGGAAGCTTTGCTGAAGCTCAGGTGAGACTCTTCTCTGTTTTTGAATTTTGGGTTTTTGTGTTTTGTGGTAAAGATCTGTTTTTGATTGTATTTTAAGTGTTTTGGAGTATGGAAGTGAACAAATGAGCTTTCTTTGTCTTTAGAAGATACAGAAAGTGAAGGAAATCTCACTCTTTTGGTGAAAAGTTGAGTTTTGCAACACTGTGTAGATGTTACAATGGTTTGATGCAATCATTCATTACCTTGTGAGAATGCTGGTTTATGTTGTAATAAGGATCTGTGTTTGATTTAGACTATGAGGAACAAATGAGCTCTTTTTCACTGCAAATTTCTCTTCATTCTTTCGGATTGGCTAAATCTTTTATTTTGGAAGTTAAAGTTGAGATATTTTTGCAACATTGTGTAGATGTTACAATGGTTTAATGCAATCATTACCTTGCAAGAATGTTAGTTTCCGCATTGAGTTTTCACCTCTTTGTGTCACTGTTAAGATTCTTGTTTTGTTTCTGTTTGTCACTTTCAGGCGAAATTTTTGTTTCCGGAGGAGTCAAGAGTTCAACAACTTGTCAAGGTGCTGAAGGAAAAGAAGATCGGAGTGTCTGCTCACTTCTACATGGATCCAGAAGTGCAAGGAGTCTTGACTGCTGCTCAAAAGCATTGGCCACACATCCATATATCTGATTCTCTTGTCATGGCAGATGCAGCTGTCAATATGGCGAAAGCCGGATGTCAGTTCATAGCAGTTCTTGGTGTTGATTTCATGTCCGAGAACGTCCGTGCCATTCTAGATCAAGCAGGGTTTGGAGAGGTTGGTAGAGAAATCTTTTTAATCTCTTTTGTGATAATGCTTTCTTCTTATATACTTTTTCGTTTTTTTTGTAGGTTGGTGTATACAGAATGTCAAATGAGACCATTGGATGTTCTCTAGCTGATGCTGCTTCTGCTCCTGCTTACTTCAACTATCTCGAAGCTGCTTCTACTACGCCGCCTTCATTGCATGTTGTTTACATCAATACAGCTCTTGAGACGAAAGCTTTCACTCACGAGCTTGTACCTACCATCACTTGCACTTCATCTAACGTTGTACAGACGATTCTACAGGTTTTTGTTTCTTGCTTAGCTTCATGATTTCAACCTTTTTGGCTTTCTGAAACTCTTTTGTCTCTGTCTCTCTCAACAGGCGTTTGCGCAAATCCCGGAGTTAAATGTTTGGTACGGTCCTGATTCTTACATGGGAGCGAATATTGTAAAGCTATTCCAGCAGATGACATTGATGACTGATGAAGAAATCGCCAGTATTCACCCTAAACACAACCTAGACTCCATTAAATCATTGCTTCCTCGTCTTCACTTCTTCCAGGTAACTTGTTTGTGGCCATAGCAATACTCAAAGTGTCGAAAGAAGTGTTTTTGCTGATTATGATTGTGTGTTTTTTTCAGGAAGGAACGTGTATTGTACATCATCTTTTCAATCACGAGGTAGTGGAGAGGATAAAGTACATGTACTGCGACGCCTTTCTCACTGCGCACCTCGAGGTTCCAGGTGAGATGTTTTCATTAGCAATGGAAGCGAAGCAGAGAGGAATGGGTGTTGTTGGATCCACGAAGAACATACTAGACTTCATCGAGCTTAAAGTTCGGGAAGCAGTGGACAGGAATGTCGATGACCACCTACAGTTTGTGCTAGGAACAGAGTCGGGTATGGTAACATCTATAGTCGCGGTGATCAGGAGCTTGGTAGGCTCTTCTTCTGCTAACTCGAAAGTGAAGGTCGAGATAGTGTTTCCTGTATCTTCAGACTCCATGTCGAAAACGGAAGGTTCAAGCTCGGTTAAGCTCGGTGATGTGGCTTTACCGGTTGTACCGGGAGTAGCAAGCGGTGAAGGTTGCTCTCTTCATGGCGGTTGTGCATCGTGTCCATATATGAAGGTTAGTTCTTGGCAAGAAGTCAAGAACTTCTTGCTTTGTTTTTATTATCGAATGTGATCGCTAATATATGAATCTCTATGATGATAAAATGCAGATGAATTCACTGAACTCGCTCTTGAAAGTTTGCAACAACCTACCTGATGTGGAGAATGTGATCGGAGGATTCAAAGCGGAGAGATTCAAAAGACAGACTCCTCAAGGAAAGCTTATCGCGGATGTCGGGTGTGAGCCAATACTTCACATGAGGCACTTCCAAGTAAATAACTTTCATCATCTTCTTGTAAAGCTTTTGTGTTTAAATGTTCAATGGAATCTTGAACCGGATCCGTGTGTTCTTGCAGGCGAAGAAGGAGCTACCAATGGAGCTTGTTAACGATGTTTTAAGCCGTGAGAGCAAGAGATGACTAAGTTTGTGTACCCCTGAAGCTATATATGAAGAGATTGGGTGAGTTTAGTTATCGACACGTTTTGATGGAACATGAATATTATAAGATCTTCCTGCAATAATGAATTGATTAAATGATCATATATGACTACAAGGATTACATTACATTTTGTACAATGATTATATACAAAAGCTGAAGAAGGGCATGTGGATATATTAGAGATGCTTAGGAGCGATCTTATTGATGTATTATTATTGTTGCAATGAGCTAAATTTGCTGCATTATATTGAGTTAGCTTTACAAAAACATAAAACTAGATTTAACCTGTACAACATTCATGTGAGAGTTGCTTGTTAGCAGCCACTAAAGGATGGCATTGTTCCTGAGGCTCAAGTTTATGCTTTTCCTCATTGTTCTTCCAGCAATGCCTTTCTGCATCATCGCTACAAACTCTCCGTAATCAATCCTTCCATCCTGAAACAAGAACAACAAAAATGATCCTTTAGCCTTTGAACACATACATATTAGCTCCACACACACACACATATATATATGAATCTCACATTGTCTTGGTCGACTTCCTTGATCACATCTTCAAGAAACACATCACTCATCCCTTGTTCAGCACAAGCATGCTGTAGCTCATCGATTGTGATGTAACCGCTCCCGTCTTTGTCAAAGTAGCTGAAGGCTGAGAGGAGATGTTCCTCACGCTCTAATTTGTTCAGATGTATTGTTGCAGCAATGAATTCACCATAATCTATTGTCCCACTCTTGTCAATATCTGCCTGGTAAATCACAACCACATGCTTAAAAACATATTGATTTCAAGAAGATAGATGAGAGTAGAGCAGAGTTTCTTACAGCCTCCATAAGGTCTCGAATCTCGGTGTCCTTGAGGGTAGAGCCATATCTTCGCAAGCCAGCTTTAAGCTCGTCAAATGTAATCGCTCCACTGTTATCCGTGTCCATTGCTTTGAACATTTCCTTTAGTCCAGCGATTTCTTCTTCCGAGAGACTCTCAGCTATTACCTGATGAGTTACATATATACAGCATAAAGACAATATTTATGGAAAAAAAATGAAAAGAAAAAAAGGGTTTGCTGCTTACTCGTAAAGCCATCTGCTTTAGTTTATTCATCGCAGAGAACTGCTTGAGACGAGAAAGCACCGCAGGATCTAGTGCTCTATCTGGTGCAACTCCATTTTCACAGATCCAAGGATGGCCTGCAAAAGATTGTAAGTAAGCAAAAGCAGATACATATATTCACAAGACACACACAAAAATGGTTAACGTAAGACTCACGCAAAACTTGATGAGCTGTGAGCCGCTCAGAGGGGCGGGAACATAGCATGCCGCGGATCAAGTCTTTTGCAGAGTCAGATATTAGTGGCCATGGATCAGAGTCAAAGTCAATATGTCCCTTTAGCACTGCATCAAATATCCCTTGCTGTGTTTCTTGGATATTTAAAACCAAAAGCAAAGAAGGATGTTAATTTCTTGGAACCATGCATTATCATTCACGTACGGTTCGGTGCATGCAATGCATACCTGCCCAGAATGGAGGGACTCCGCTCACCAATATGTACAGTATGACCCCTGCGGTCCACACATCCGCCTCCGGTCCGTAGTGCTTCAGCAGAACCTCAGGAGCTACGTAATACGGACTTCCAACCACATCGTCAAATATTTGACCTGATAAGTTGCATATGATGCTATTAGTTAATAATATCCGAGATCGGAAGTTTGAAATGATCTTAAAGTAGCATATAAGGGACGTGAGCCACTTCATTATTTCCCAATTGATTTTAAATTGAAAGTCCATGTAACTTAAGATGCAAGTAAGCAAGTTTGGATGTTGCAACCTAGCAGTAGAGAAAGAGATTTCGTTCACCTGGTTTGAAGAAGACGGAAAGCCCAAAATCAATGGCCTTGAGAGAGAAGTCATCGTCCTTATTAACCAACAAGAAATTCTCGGGCTTCAGATCTCTATGCATGACACCTAGAGAATGGCAAGCCTCAACAACACCAACGATGATCTTAATCAGCTCAGCTGCTTTTCTCTCGCTGTAATGTCCTCTCTGGATGATTCTATCAAAAAGCTCCCCACCTGAGCAGAGCTCCATGACGATGTGAACATACAACGGATCCTCGTAAGCGCCTTTGATGGTGACAATGTTCTTGTAACCAGCAAGATGGTGCATGATCTGGATTTCCCTCCGCACGTCTTCCACATCTTCCTTTGAAATCAGCTTACGTTTTGTTATAGACTTGCACGCGTATTCACGCCCTGTCGAGATCTCTTTGCACATGTATGTCGTCCCAAACTGTCCTTGCCCTAATTTGTGTCCTAACGAGTAGAGATCTCGGATGCTTGGGGTCTTTTGACCAAGAACATAGCTGGCTTGGTTCCCACCGCTGTGCTTCATTGTGTGCCTTGCGACAAAAGATGTATGTCATGTAATGCCTTTTGTTTACCTCCCCTTCCAAATCAGTTTCTTCTCATGAGAGGAAAAGAGATCAGATCCCATAGCAGAATCTGAAACAACAAAATCGCATTGGTAGAGAGAATTATAGGATATGAGGAAGAGATGGATGTATAATAATATTACCAGGCAGAGATGGAAGAAATTCAGTCAGATTGGTGCAGATCCGATTATCAAAAAAATTGTCTTGTTTTGTTTAGATAGGTTTTCGCAAGGATCTTGACTAAAAATAAACAAAGAGGGGAGATCTTTGATCTATAAAATAGTCTCTTTTATTAGAATATTCTAAAAATGCAGTGGAATCTGCTGCCTCCACAGGGATTATTTCATTGGCTTACTCTCACAGTATCTATTTTACTAGAGGTTAAGAAATACTTTTTCACTGCTAATGTTTTAAGTGTTACTAATATTTTTTGCAAGGCTACCTATTAATTTTGTTTTCTACAAAGAAAAAGAATCAAAAACTACTACCATGTGAAAATATCATGGACCCAAATTGCAGAAATTAGTAATGATCACTGCTATTTAGATAGGAACAAAAAAAGGAGAAATATTGTAAGGCATATTGTTAAGATTTTAGAATCTACGCACATGAATTCTTAAAAGAACACAGCAAAAGTTCTTAGGATCGTGAAAATCCTGTTTTCGCAGATTTTTGGTTTCTAGCTATCGAAAGACCAGCAGATCCAAGGCTAGAGTACACCTCTGTCTAAGCCAACCAGGGCAGAGTCACACGAGTTTGAGCGGCCGCTAAGCCTTAATTCCCGGACATTCCCACATAAGAAAAATACGATATGTAAATGATAACAACATTTGAAGTACTTTTGTCTAAAAGTTTATAAATATTTTAGAAAATGCATTTTATAATGTATATCCATATAATATTTTATTATATAAAGTTATAATGTGATTGAATCATGTCGAATAAATTATTATCCATAAGATTTTAACACATGTCATGTAACAATGTAGATGGTAACACATGTAATTATTCATAATATTTGGAGATGGAGATACTTATGCTGGATGTGCACGATATGGTTGCGACAGGTAGGATTTTTATAAAATATATGATTGGGATATGTGTCATTTTTAATGTTATATCCGTTAAAATCGTGACACATGTCTTCGAAAAAAAGAAATTTTTATTTTAAAGGAAAAAATTTAATATCTTATAATAAAAACGAAATTTTATATAATAAAATAAAAATAATGTAATAAAAAATTTATTAGTATATGGAATATATGTAAACTGGTTGCGACACGTAGGATTTTTATAAAATATAGGATTGCGACATGTGTCACTTTTAATGTTATATCCGTTAAGATCGTGACACATGTCTTCGGAAAAAAGAAATTTTTATTTTAAAGGGAAAATTTTAATATCTTATAATAAAAACGAAATTTTATATAATAAAATGAAAATAATGTAATAAAAAATTCCTATTAGTATATGGAATAGGTATGTAAACTAAATATCCTAAAATTGTATGGAATAGGTTATATAAACTCCTATTTAAAAAAATCCTATTAGTACATGTAATAGGTATGTAAACTAAATATCCTAAAACTGTATGAAATTGGTTACATGAACCCCCTATAAAAAGAGAGCTATTGTAGTCTCTTTTTCTCATTCACAAACTCATCAAAGCAAATTCAGAAAATCTCTTTGATTCTCTTTCTCTAATTTCAAAATCATGTCTTTGAAAGTTCAAGAGAACAGTGGAGATTATTTGACTCTAGGTCAATTGGATCGAAATTAAAATTATTTGAATAAAATCCTATTAGTACATTAGGAAAAATCAGAAAACAGGAAACAAACAATTAAAAAGAAAAAATATTACATCCATTATGAGAAGTAAAGAAAAAACATAATTCTATTACGAAAAGGAAAAAAAACGAAAATCAGAAAAACATGAAGAAATAATTAAAAAATGTTACATCCAATAAGAAAAGGAATAAAAAAACATATTCCCATTACGAAAATGAAAAAAAAAACATATATATAACAAGCTATATTTTTTAAGTTTCTTTCTCATTAAGAAATAAAATTCATGTCTTTAAAAGTTAAAGATATCAATGAAGAATACTTAACTTTAGATCGATACATGTGTCTAATATTTGATGAAGTGATGACATGTGTCAACACAAGAAAATTGGAAAAATGTAGTAACATAAATAAATAAACTAACAAAATAATATTAAAACAACTAACTAATAATGAAAATGAAAATTTATAATGGTCAGAGGCAAAAACGAAATTGAAAAAGAAACAATATAAATAGAAAACTAACAAAATAATTATTAAGGAACTAAATAATATTAAAAAAGAAAATTTTATAATGGACTGATCTTCTAATATTAAATAGTTTAATTTTCCATGTTTTGTTAGGTAAAAAAATATTAAAAATAAAGATTTCATCATGGAATAATCAAAGTTTCATAAAATAATGAGTCGATTAGATTTAGACACATGTAAATCTTTCTATTTCATATCATGAATTCAAAATAAAAATGTAAAAGACTACATATCTTTATTTAGAGATTTGTTATCGGGTTTTTAATATTATTTTCTTATTTTTAAAATTGATCAAATTTTGTTTAATATTCTTCCGTGATTTAAAAAAATAAAAAATAAATAAACCCGCGTATACGCGGGGCCTAATCTAGTTTATTTATTAGAGAGAAAACCTTATTATTATTATTACACGAGATTAGTTTGTTTTATTTTTGGACATTACATTTATTTATTGAAATCTCAGAAAGATTTTTTCACTTAACAAACATTCAGTTCCAACAAAACCAAAAAGGAGGACCAAAAACCGGAGCGCACGGATTTGGTAGATTAACGGCTTCCCAATTAAGATTAGCTTCATCTCCTCCTTGCATGGTAATCATCATTTTTGCTTTTTTAAAATAAGCATAGCATTTATCTTTGCACTTTTCTTTCTCTTCGTTGTTGGTTGTTAATTGTCGGAGACGGAAACTTTGCTGCTGGCAGTGGTTCTCACAGTACCTCTCCACCTTCATAGCACCAGAGAGTGCTGCACTTTCGCACACGAACACAGCGCATATCACTAAGATCACTAGCCATGGCGTTGTTCCTCCCATGATTGATTGCAAACTCTTAAGTAGCTAATTATGGTATATCTTTGTGTTATTTAACTAATGTATTGTACCCAGGTACCTAGCTATATATAATAGGTGGGAGGTGAGTGCATGAGAGTTAGAAGACGAGGGTGCGGTGCTAAGCTTCTATATACATGATTGAAGCCATATGTCTGTGCACTTTTTGTTTACCATGCACTTGTTTATAAAATAATAAGAGCCACATAATATTTACATCACTACACTACAAGAAATATGAGTATTGATAGCATATTATCATAGCACAGTTTTTGTAACTGCTATTAAAAGTGTGATGACGAATTAGATTGATGTATGATAGCTTTTTAAAATTGCTATGCCTTAAAAGGCTTCAAACAACAACATTTCAATCTAAACATTAAACTTATTTTGTTTTACTTGAAGAAGATAATGGTTTTCATCATTGAAGTGTTCAGTGAATTGTTGTGATTTACTTGTTTAGTGGAAGTATTTAATTTCAAGGCGGGATTGATCTGTTTGGCGTAAGTCACATAACTGTGCCAAAATTAACTTCCACATAAACTAACGATATGACGCTATATGTCATAGTCTAACAAAAGCTTTTAAACTAGAGGTTGAAATTAAGAGAATGAAACTTGAGATTCATCTTCATGTTGCTTCTTCCTGAAGTTCTACAATTCGAGCGAAAGTCTTTAGAATAAATTAAATAAATATTCAAGTCAAATTAACAATATTTAGCGGAAGCAAATAGATTAAAAGGAAATTCTAGCAATCTAAACACCAAGTTCAGCTTAAACAATGCAAAACATAAATTTTTTATCATCCCTTTCTTCGGCCTTAATTCTGCGATCATGTAAACCTTTTACATGCAACACATACGAAAGAGTTGCCTAAGTATTATCATAAATACTTAGTGAGTGGATCATCCCACCAACAAGTCAATTACGTGAAAATACTAGCAATAATAAACAATCATCAAACACATCAACAACGAACAGCAACAACGATTTCAGCTTGTGTCGAGTGACACCCCACTGGTGTCGGTCGACACACGACCACTAGTGTCACTCGACACCGGCTCGAGCTCAGAACTCCAATTCCCGATAAACACACAGAAACAGCAAATCTCGGGTTTCAACACCCAATCAAGCAATATAGCAAGAACACAACACGAAATAACACATAAACTCAATAATCAAACCAAATCTAGTAAATCACGACCCTATGGTCACGCACTCACCTCTAAAACCGATTGAAATGAAGGAAGGGAGAAACGTCGAAGAACAACAATGATCACAGATTCGCCCAAGAACACTTCGAATCCGTCAAATCGCCTCTCTTCTCCTCTCTCACGAACTCAGCCTCCACAAAACGACAAAAAGACGGCTGCACCTCTTTTAATCAGCGCAATAGGGTTTCCCGCCCTAAACCGAACTAAACCGGCCACTCAAATCAAACCGGGTTTGATTTTATAATCGTTGTGTCGAACGATCAGAAACTCAGAGATTGGTCTACGGATGTTACAAAACTAATATGTGAACTGAGGTCAAATGCAAATGTAACCTATTCTACCTTTTAATTGGTTTATTAATATTTTACTAAATAAAATCTATGATTTTATAAACAAGTACAAGTAGCAGAAAAAAAAAAATTATTTTGTCAATACATTTTTACATTTTTTTTTTGTTTGGTACACTTATTATCCATTAAGATTTGATAATTTTAAAATTATTAGTTGATTAATATAATTATTAATATAGACCCGCGCGTAGCGCGCGTAGCCCGCATTAAAAATCTAGTTTAGAATTATTTATGGGTGAAAAAACACTTTCTTATAAAAACTCACAAATTTGAATATACATAATCGAGACGAACAATTTCATATAGTTACTTTTCACTATAGTTAGTTAATTTTTCAACTAAAACTATAAAACTATTTTTAAAATTATTTCTCGGGTAAACACATTTCTATAGAAAACAATCACAAATTTAAATATACACAAGTGAACTTCAAACTTCATATAATAATTCAATATTTCAAATGGATTTGTAACTAAAAGTATGTATATGCTAATGTAAAAAAATACATAATTAATGATTAATTTTGAACCCATGCTATAGTACGGGTATCATCTTGGTACCAAAAGAAATATGAGGATATGTAAATGATAAAAACATTTTAAGTACTAGAAACATTTTAGAAAATGCAATTTGTAATGTATATCCATATAATATTTTATTATATGGAAAGATAGAATGTGAACACAACATGTAGAATAAATTATTATCCATCAGATTTTTACACGTGTCATCTAACAATGTAGATAATGACACATAATTAATCACTAGGGTTTGACCCGCGCTCTGCATGGGGTGATATTTTATTCCAATGACTTTAACTTAAAAATGTCTAATTACATAACTCGAAATCTTATGCGACATATTAATTCGACTGTTTTCTTTGTTTTGTGGATATTAAACATTTTAAATAATTTTTTAAGAAGGTACAAAAATAAAGTTTTGACCATAACTATAAATTACATATATTACATATGATAAAACTGAGTGAGAAACAAAAAAAATCAAATGACTACAATATAATAAAACAATTGAAATAACAAATCAAAGATTTTAAGATTGCCAAACTAACTAATGAGACTTGACAATTTACATAGATTGTTATGAAAACGATTCGAACATAAATCCAGTTAGTTTATAACTGTCCGTAAGTGGGATCATGATCGTTTTTGTTTTTCACATCATAATGTGTAAAATAGTTAGTTTCTAGTTAATTTTGGAAATAAAATCTTCTTATCTTCCCACCTAAGTACCTTACCACAAACCACTTATAATAAAATTTTAGATCCAATCCTTAAGAAGATTTTAAGATTGCTAAACTAACTAATAAAACTTGACTGTTTTACATAGATTGTTGTGAAAAACATAGATCCAGTCAGTTTTTAACTGTCCGTAAGTGGGATCATGAATGTTTTTGTTTTTCACATCATAATGTGTAAAACAGTTAGTTTCTAGTTAATTTGTAAAATCTTCTTAACTTCCAACCTAAGTACCTAAAACCACAAACCACTTAGAATAACATTTTAGATCTAATCATTTTAAAATAAGATTAGAAGACTGCTAAAATAACTAATGAAATTTGACTGTTTTACATAGATTGTTGTGAAAATGATTCGAACATGGATCCAGTCAGTTTTTAACTGTCCGTAAGTGGGATCATGAACGTTTTTGTTTTTCACATAATGTTTAAAACAATTAGTTTCTAGTTAATTTGGTAAATAAAACCTTCTTAACTTCCAACCTAAGTACCTAATCACAAACCAATTAGAAGAAAATTTTAGATCCAATAATTTTAGAAGAAGATTATAAAATTGCTAAATTAACTAATGAAATTGACTGTTTCGCATAGAATGTTGTGAAAACCATTCGAACATGGATCCAATCAGTTTCTAACTGTTCGTAGTGGGATTATGGATGTTTTTGTTTTTCATATTATAATGTGTAAAACAGTTAGTTTCTAGTTAATTTGGCAAATAAAATCTTTTTAACTTCCAACCTAAGTACCTAAAACCACAAACCACTTAGAATTTTTTTAGATCCACTCCTTTTAGAAGAAGATTTTAAGATTACTAAACTAACTAATGAAACTTGACTGTTTTTCATAGAATGTTGTGAAAACGATTTGAACATAGATCCAGTCAGTTTCTAACTGTCCATAAAGTGATCATGAACGTTTTTTTTTTCACATCATAATGTGTGAATCAATTAGTTTCTAGTTAATTTGGCAAATAAAATCTTCTTGACTTCCTACCCAAGTACCTAGCCACAAACAATTTAGAAGAAAATTTTAGATTCTTGTAGATGATAAATCCTAAGAAGTTGTTAAGATTGTGAGACTAACTAATGAGTTTTGACTGTTTTGCATAAATTGTTGTGAAAATGATTCGAACATAGATCCGGTCAGTTTCTAACTGTCCGTAAGTGGGATCATGAACGTTTTTGTTTTTTTTTTCACATCATAATGTGTAAAACAGTTAGTTTCTAAGTTAATTTTGCATTAATTAAATATCTAGAAATTCAATATTAGGAAGAAATTTAACATTCTTTGTAAAATTTTCATTAGTTATAATCATCCCTAAATGTAACGTGCTGCACTTTATTTGTGTTTTCAGACTATGTATATATAATGTGCTCCATTGTATATTATTATGTTTAAAAATGATATAATGTAACTTGAATAATAAAATAGATGTTAAAAAATATTATATATATATATATATATATATATATTTGAACAATTTCTTATTAAAATAAACTCAAAAGATTACAGTAGCAGCAAATAGAAGACTTTTGCCAAAGAGTAGAAGCTAATTGTGTGCAGAAATAAAAGATAAAACATTAAAAGGATAGGTTGAGCAATTTGAATCATAGAAACAAATTGGAAGCTTCTTTGGGCTTCTAAGATGATCGTTCTGAAAGTGATCTGAAGTTCTTCTGCCATTAAAATATTCTCTTGAAAGTCTTATTTTAAGAAAAGCGAAAGTGAAAAACTAAGTTGATTAATGAAGCATAGCCGAGTTGAGCTTTGAGTACAAGAGATTTCTTTCCAAATCTTTCAGAACATAATATTTTTTGGTTATCATTAGACAAGTGACCAGAGATTCATAGGTGTTATCAAACGACGACGTTTCTTCGGTACACTAAAAACGAAACGGCACCGTTTCGGAAGATGATGATGATTACGCAATCGTCGTCTTCTTCTTTCTCTCAGTCGTCCCTTCTCTCTCATCTTTGCTATCTTCTTCTCCGATTACAGATTCATCCAATTCTAAGCCCCGATACGAAATCCCATTTAAATCCTTTTATCTCTTTCTGAGATACGATCCATTAACATGTACTCTGCTCCGACGTTATCTTCATCCGGAAGCTCCCTCTTATGGCGGAACCGTACTACACCTCCACCTCCGCCTTCGTTCAAAGCTTTCTCTTTTCCCTTCTCTTCCAGTTTAGGGTTTATCCACAGAACATCAATTTCCCATCTTTCTCGTTCCGCTCAAATTTCCTCCCTGGCGCAGACCCAGCCTGCCCCTGAATTCAATCGTAAGCTAAATCCTTCTCGATTCCAAATCGGAAACTGATCGAATTCTAAATCTTGTTGGCTTCTTCTTGTAGCGTCGTGGTAGGAGTTCGCTCAAAACGTCTCCGGCGAATGGGACGGTTTCGGGGGTGATTTTACAAGTCAAGGTCAACCGCTTGAGCTGCCAGAGTCAGTGGTTCCAGAAGCTTTTAGAGAATGGGAAGTGAAAGTGTTCGATTGGCAGACTCAGTGTCCCACTCTTGCTCAACCGGAAGACGCACATTCTTTCCGTTACAAGTCCATCAAACTCCTCCCCACCGTTGGTTGTGAAGCTGATGCAGCTACTCGTTACTCCATCGGCGAAAGGAGCATCAAAACGTCGCCGTTTCCGTTAGCATTCTCTTATTCCGTTAACGGCTCCTATGTCGCCGTCTGGCCTCTTGGGGAGAACATTTTGGAGTTGGAGCATTGCTTGTTCAACCCAAACGACAAGGAGTCTCGTGTCAGGATTTTCCAGGTTTTACGCTTGGAAGAGAGTAAAATGTTGCTGCAGAGTGTTAAAGTTTTCTGTGAGCTTTGGGACGGTCCGTTCAGAGATGGAGATCAGCTCGGAGGCTGTGCCATACGTAGCTCTGGTTTTGCTTCTACACCTACCACTCCAGCTTCGGTTGTAGCCGGTTCTTGGAGAGCTCTTCTTGCTACCACCACTACCTCTAATGCTCAGGCTTGTGTTCAACAAGTTACTGGAGAGAAAGTGATTGATATTGTGCGAGAAGAGAAAGATCTTTTACTGCTTCCGAAAGATCTGTGGTGTGAGCTACAACAAGGCAAAGACGGAGAAAGAGCTTTTTCTATAGGATGGTTGTTTGAGCCAGGCCATGCTGTCACATCCTCATGTGTCTTCTCCAGTGCCTCTAAGCTAAAGGTTCTTATAATTAACAATAGTCATCTCTCTTCTCCTTGCTAAACTTGTGCTCATGATTCTCTCTTACCTTGCGCAGGAGGTAACAATGGCAAGAGAGACTGCTCAATCACATGTATAATCGTTTATATAGGATGTGTGTGCATACAAATCTAACATTACAATAAAACGGTGTTATAGAGAAAACTCGCATTAGGTGTTATGTTGTATGTGTTCTCGAGAACAATTTGACCAAATTAAACTCAAAATCAAACATTAAAAAACCAATTATATACCAAACATTTCAACAGACGTTTCGAGTAATCAAACAGAGTGTTAACAATCATGTCCAAGTACAAACATACCCGTCTTTATCAGCAGAAGCCAATGGTTTCCCAATCCCACACCACGAACAACAGAGTATAGGAGATGTTTGCTCCTTGAGAACGCTCACAATCTTGCCTTTCGAGATAGATCATACATGCACCGTCCCATCCCAAGATCCCGCGGCCACGTACTCGTCGTCCGGACTTATACACGACCGGCTCCAGTTCGACGCCAATCTGTTTCCCGACGCTCTCAATGTCCCGCAAATCTCCAAACTCCCGCTCGTCAAGATCCTGTTCCAGTTACGTGACAACGAGACCGAGGTCACAGCGGAGGAATGTCCAGCCACTTCAAAGAGAAGCTTCCCCGTTTGTATATCCCATAGCCTGAGATTCCCATCCATGTGGCCTGAGAAAACCGTGAGCCCGTCTATGCTTAGGCACATGGCGTTGCAGTTGCTGGTGAAGAGCACCGTGTTAGTGCAGTAGCCTTTCTGCAGATCCCAGAGCTTTATGGTGCGGTCGTAAGCCGCACTGACGACGTGCCGGCTCGAGAACTTGCTCACGTCCACGGCGTAGACTTTATCCGTGTGGCCTGTGAGAGTGTGGCGCACCCTACCGGAGCTAACATCCACACAAAGAGATTGTTCGAGGTGGTTGCCGCGGTCAGGGACTTGTTGTCGTGTGTTATGGCTAGGTCAAGAATGTTCCCGAGTGTGCCGTGTAAGCTTTTGATCAAAGAGCCGCTGTTGGTGTCCCACATTTTGACAGCTCGGTCTTATCCACCGGTGAAGAGAGTACCAGAGTTGTATTCAAAGATGATTGAGCCACAACCACTTCATGAGCATGGATACGGTGTCCACATGTTGACGGAATCGTTGACTCAACAAAGTCATCCGTTCCATCTTCGTTCCGCCGCACGATCCCATCAACTTGCTGCCGAGCAAGATTCTCTAAACCATTGGCCTTAAGCTTCGCTAGCATTTCTTCATAGAGAGCATTTGCCTCGTTAAGACGTTCTGCGTCTTGCATCTTCTGCAACATCCACCGATCAATCAACATTTTATTCTCAGACTCTGCTTTCTGAGCTCTATCTGTCATTTCCTCTAGCTGAGATCGGACTTCCTTGTTCTCGGCGATAAGTAAATCCAAAGTCTTGGTCTTTTCCTCTAACTCTTCTTGTAAATTTGTACACTTTTCCCTACACAATCCCAAATCTAGTTTTCAAGAACCGCACATTACTTATCAATTCCGTTAACAGTCACTTTGCAAGAAAACACCAAAATCTGACCTTGTTTCGGTTAATTCCGTCTCCATGTCGTTAATTAACAACTCCTTCTCTTGTAAAGAAGCCTTTGATGTTCTTGATTCAGCTACTTCTATCACGAGTTGCTCGGATAATCGGGATTGCGCTTTGCAACATTGTTGTAGCTCTATCTCCAGCTTCTCTGTTTTCTCCTTCCATTCTGATCCCTGCATGCATATACACAACAAAAGGATTCAATAGGTAACTTCAAGGCGTAGTTTTTTCATCTGAAGCCGGCAATGTTTTAAACTAAACTTTGTGACACAACATTATAACAACATAACCAAAAAGAAGCACAGATTAAAGAATGGATCAATTGATGAATTAAACACCACATAATCTTCTAAAAACTACAGAAGATGGATAAACTCACAAAATCAACTATACAAACATACTGAGAACTACAAAATTTCTTGATTAAGAAGGAACTTTCTTCTTCCAACTGCTGAGAAACAATACCATTTCTTGCAAACTTTCATCATATACAAGAAAAGCCTTAATTTTCCAATGTTTTTTCTCTTGACCTTCTTATACGAGCAAGTGAAACTGAACAAATCTCGAAAAACTGAACAGATTACAAACAAATTGATTGATTAAGAGTCGTACGAAGTATTCTAAGCTAAAGGTTGAATTTGCTGAAACAAAAGGTACCTGAGAGATTATAGGTTTAGAGAGAGCAGAGCAGAAATCGCCGGAGCGTGAGCTCCTTCTTCCAGAAGATGACGCTTCCGTAGAGCTCGCAAAGCGTCTTTTATGGCTTCCATAGCTTTCTCCTCCTGTAACCTGAAAAGCAAAAAAAAAAAAGTCCCGACGATCATCGGAATCAGAAATTTTTCGCTTCCGTTGAAAATCAATCGTAGAACGAGATTCAAGCAGACTTACAACATGTTGATCCGATCGAGAAAAGAGGGATTAGGGTTTGTAGTAGAAGAAGAGAAGAAAAGGAGAGTTTGATCGATTTGATCGGAAGAGGTAGCGACTTTGCCGAGCGAATGAATTTAGGATTTCCCACAAAATTCTTTACTGAAAATAATTTATTTTGATCACATAATTTATTAAAAATAATTAAACTCAGATTTTGTATTAATTAATGATGATTAGCAATAAAATTTTGAAAATCTTTCCAGATTTGTTTGATTAACTAATTTAACCTTTGAAGTTTTTTAGGGAAAATATCATAATTTGCAAATTAAAATTTGTTCACTAAAATATTACTATTCTGCAAACATTATTTTCACATTCTTTATTGTTCACTAAAATATCACACGTCACTAGAGAGAGACACATGGCAACAAATGAATCCAAGGCTCTAGAGAATTGACGCGCACACAGAACAAGAAGATCTTGATTCTTGTAAGAAGAAACTAGAATAATTCGAAAATGCGAGCTCAGGTTTTATACCCAACATTAACAGCATATGGTCGTCACCAATACTATTGTGCGCCACGCAGCCTCGTCTCCTTAACCTTCACACCTCTCCACCACCGCCACGTTTCTCCTCCGTTTCTCAATCTCAGTCTCTTCACCGCCTTCCGTTTTCCTTTCTTCCGCATGGAGGTTCGCTAATTCCCTCTCTCTCTCTCTCTATTTCGCTATGAACCTCTGCTTCAGTTTCGTAATTCTGTGTTTGCTTGTATCTCCTGAGATATATTCCTCTGTTTTTTCTGATGATTCGATTTGTCTCGAAACTCTGGAATTTGATGTTAAGCAATCTGGACCGACGACGACGGGGAAGAAGAAATCAATGGTGGAGAATTTGAAGCGATACGGTGTGATCTCATCGAAGAAAGTAGCTGAAGTCATGGAAGCATTAGACAGAGGTCTCTTCGTACCAGTCGGATCTTCTTCAGCTTATGAAGATACTCCCATTCCCATAGGTTACAACGCCACAATCTCCGCTCCGCACATGCACGCCACGTGCTTGCAGCTCTTGGAAGATAAGCTTAAGCCCGGGATGCGAGCTTTAGACGTTGGCTCAGGTTCTTGCAACAAGAACTCATATAAGAATCTTGATTAAGAACTTTTGGCATATCAGTTACTCAGCTTCATGAATCTTTTGTAGGAACCGGTTACTTAACCGGCTGTTTTGCTCTCATGGTTGGAGCCGAAGGACGAGTCGTTGGCGTGGATCATATACCTCAACTGGTTGATATGTCGATCAAGAACATTGAAAAGAGCGTTGCTGGTTCTTTGCTTAAGCAAGGATCTCTCTCTTTACATGTTGGTGGTATGTTTAGTATGTTTCAGCCCTCATGGATACATAGTGAAAAGACTTGAGAGCTTTTTCTTGTATATGGCAGATGGAAGAAAAGGTTGGGGAGAGTTTGCGCCGTACGATGCGATACATGTAGGAGCAGCGGCGTCGGAAGTCCCTCAGGCGCTTTTGGACCAGCTAAAACCCGGTGGTAGGATGGTGATTCCGGTAGGGACTTACTTTCAGGAGCTTAAGGTGATTGATAAAGGCGATGATGGTTCGGTTAAGGTGCGTACCGAAACCTCGGTTAGGTATGTGCCTCTTACTAGCCGTGACGAACAGATTGGAGGGTTTTGAAGAAGAAGTAAAAGAACAAAACAGCACTCTTCTTTACCACGTCTTAGTGTAGATAGCAAAAAGGTTTGTGTATATGTTTTGATGAGAAGTAATAAAGAAAAGATGTTTTCAAAATCCACGCCTTGGTCGTTCCTCAGCAACGTTGACTCTAATAGCTCTGCCTTCCAAATTCTACAAAACACAAAGATGCAATACAATGAGAAGAAAGGTTACAAAATCTGTAAGAAGAGAATGTTTTTGTTTTTACTTGTCCATCAAGAGCAGCAATGGCGTCATTGACTTCGGTTTCGTTTGACATTGTAACAAAACCGAACCCACGTGAACGACCCGTCTCTCTGTCGGTAAGAACTCGAGCTTCGACTACTTTCCCGTGCTCGCTGAACACTTGTTGTAGACGAGCGTTGTCTACATCCCATGGAAGGTTCCCAACGTAGATCTTGAACGCAGCTTCGTAGACACGAGGTTCGCGTTCTGGTCTTGATCCTCTAGGAGCTGCTCTGTTTACAGTCAAAAGCCTCCCATTCACTTCCTGATGTATTAGTTAATCAAACAAACCGGTCCATCATAAAACATCTTCACTAATATCCAAATATCGCTCACAACTGAGAAACAAGATGAAAGTTTGTTAAATTGGCTTACATAGCGGTTGAGTTTTTCAACGGCTTTCTCTGCTTCCTCAACGGTACTCATTGTTACAAAACCGAATCCGCGACTCTGGTCGGTGTCCCTATTGTATATAACCTGCACAATCAGATTCCAAGTTTGGAAAGACAATTTAACCAAAAGGCATAACAAAACATTAAGACAGTAAGCTCAGACAATAATCTCAAGAAGTAGCAAAGCTTCTCAACCATTTGGATTTAATTCAAGAAATGAGATTCACATAACAGAAATTTGAAAACTTTTTCAAGAACAAGAATGTAGCGACGCTAAAGAAGACATTAGTTCAAGAAATGAGATTAACATAAACCGAAATTTGAAAACTTTCTCAAGAACAAGAATGTAGCAACGCCAGAGAAGAAATTAGTTCAAGAAATGAGATTCACATAACCGAAATTTGAAAACTTTCTCAAGAACAAGATTGTAGCAACGCCAGAGAAGACATTAGTTGCAAGAAACGACATTCACATAAACAGAAATTTGAAAACTTTCTCAAGAAGTAGCATTGCTAAAGAAGACATTAGTTCCACTACTCTTATACCATTTGGATTCAATGTTCAAAAAATGACATTTGCATAAAGAACTTATACCTCTGAAATCTCAACTGTACCAGCTTGCTCAAAGAGCATAGCCAAAGCCTGGCTATCAACATCGTACGGCAAGTTTCCGACGAACAGTTTAGCCTCTTCCGGTGGCTCTTGAAACCCACCACCGTCTTCTTCAGTCCCACTCGTGTCTTCTTCTTCTCCATCCCACAACTTGGCTTCCTCAACGGCGACGGAAGCATCTTCACCTTCTTCCTCTGCCCAATCCGAAGTTTGGGAAACGAAGGTAACGAGAGGAGAGAGATTATGATGTTTGAGAGAGAGAGGGAGGTTAATGGGTCGTCGTGTAAGGAGGGGAAAATTAGAGCGGCGAGGTTTGGAGGAAGAGATGTTGAAGATTGAAGGAAGAGAAAAAAGGGTCGACGATGATGATTTCGCGATAGTTAAAGACTTTAAGCTTGAGGTTACTAATGAAGAAGTCATTTCTGCTTTTCACAGAGATTACAGAGGAAGAGAAGAAGACAGGGTTTGTGAAAGCGATAAAGAAATCAGAGAGAGAGAGGTGAGACAAAAATGTTCGATTAAATTTCGTATCCCTATATTAAAAGAGGAAACACTTTGAAAATAACTTTTGTTCAAATAACTTTTGTCTGATGTGTTATCACTATGTGACGAATACCTCCGGATGCGTGCAAGTAGTGCTTCTTCCTTTTTAGAATCATTCGTGGAAAGAATCATACATGTGGTTGGGAATAAATACCTAAGAAGACCCACACCGGAGCCCGGAGGATCTTCAAAGACTACTCGATAGGAGCGGAACGTGGATTTTCCGGAATGATAGGAAGCATCGACTGTATGCATTGGGAGTGGAAGAATTGCCTTACCGCTTGGAAAGGGCAATATTCACGTGGTTTTGCGAAGCCCACGATCGTTTTAGAGGCTCTAGCTTCACATGATCTCTGGATATGGCACGCGTTTTTTGGAGCTCCATGTACCTTAAAAGATCTCAATATACTTGATCGATCACCTGTTTTTGATGATATAATAAATGGTCAAGCTCCACCAGTGAATTTCTCTGTAAACGGAAATGAGTATCATCTAGGATACTATCTCGCAGATGGTATTTATCCGATATGGGCAACTTTTATCCCAACTATTAAAATTCCGCTATTGCAAGCTCGTTTCGCCATTATTAAAAACCCGGCCCTCTTTATGGATGAAGTAAAAATAGGAAAGATTATGAGAGCATGTATCATACTTCACAACATGATAGTAGAAGACGAACGAGATGGAGACTATGATGAAGCAGAATTCCAACCAAGAGAAGGAAACATAAGTTCAGATGTACGTCATTCAGATGATATGCCTACGAATGTCGAAGAAATGATGGATGTTCGAGTAAGTATTCGTGATGAACAAATGCATCAGCAATTGAAAAATGATTTGGTTGAGAAGATATGGGAAACATTTGGACATCTTTATCAACAAATTGTTGGAGATACTTAACATGATGGTTAAGTTTTATTTATGTTTATGTTCTTGAATTTTATGTTTAAAATGTTTGTATGTCACATATGTTTCAAATTTTAATTTATGCAATGTATTTTATGTTTTGTTCTCTCATAAAATTAAAATTAATTTTTTTTTTCGATACCAAACATGCATGATTCTGCAATTTGATCGTCCTAAACCGAGATTGATGCAACGTTGATGGGTCCTTTGGCTAATTGGCTTCTCTTCTCCTCTGATTAGGTTATGGTCTGGTCTCTCCATTTTTCTCTTCATTTCTTTTCGCTTTCTTTGGTGTTTTCCCGACTGATTATGCTCATCTTTTTGCACGAATTGGCTGGTCTTTGCGTCGCTACATCAATTGCTGAGGTAATTATTCGCTATTTCTGGTAATGATTTGGGATTCTAAACACTAATTTTATATAAGAAAGCTCAAAGCTTTTGTTAGAACTTAGAGTGAAGAACAGAGTCAATAAAAAATAAAGCTTTATTTATTACAGAATCAAAAGAAACCAAACAAATCCCTAACTGTTAACCGCATAAGTAAGCTTAAAACTTTTCGTTGGAGATAAGAAGAGAACTGAAGTAAAGATAATAATTGTGTTCTTCAGTTTCTGATTTCTAAGTTTCTTCTTTATTGATCGTTTTTGATTTGTTAGTTTGTTTAATTTTGGCTTAGTGTGAACTGAATCTGTTGAGTTTAAGAAAGGTCTAAGTGCTGGTGGTGATGATTCTATTTTGTTGACCAAGTGTTGTGATGATGAGCTCTCTTTTGTTGAGCTTCGGGAATTTTTTATTTCATATCAGACTTGTATACTTGATCAACCAAAAAAGTATTAAATGATTAAACCATATAGCTTAACAAACCATAGATGAATCTTTGTTTGCATTTTCCAGTCTTGCGTTTCTTTTTTCCAGTGTTGCCTTCAAGTCTGATTTCATAAGTCATTAAGCCTTCTAAAAATAAGCTTGTTGCAGGTTCCTAAAGATGAGACTGTAGGGTCCTAAAGATGAGCTTGCTGCAAGTTCACAACTCATTAAGCCTTCTAAAGATGAGCTTGCTAAAGATGAGACTGCGGGTTCATAAAGATGAGCTTGCTGCAAGTTCACAACTCATTAAGCCTTCTAATAACAAGGTATATGTCTTCTCTATAACACATATTTGTTTAACACCATTCTAACGAAGAGGCTGCCATCAAAAGAAAAACGGGATTGTTTCTTTATGGTAATACTCTTTCTATGTTTTGTACAACGTTTACTCTTCTTTTTAAGAGTTTTGTGTAGCTTATGACTTAGACCGTTCATTGAATGTGAAATTAAAAAGATTTTGAATAATTATTCAATTTTCAAAACCTTTTGAACTAGCTAGAGTCTCTATGAGACTTTTAGTAACCCTACAATTGATAACCCTATTTCTAACTTGAGTACTCAAGCTAACGGCAACTCAAAGCTTTTCATCGTGAGGTTTCGATTGAAGCACTAAACAGAGGCATAGGTTTGGACTTTGGATTCATAGATCGAGTGTTTCAGCTTACACAGAACTTGCTGCAAGAGACAACTATGTCATACTCGGGCATGGTAAGTATTTTTCATCTTGATCAATAGATGATATATGAGTTTAACCGTGATCTCTAAATAAAATAAGGTTTAGTTTACTAGAATAATTACAAACAATGCTACCATATATCTTATTATATAAAGTTGGATGCGCACAACGTGTTTGCGACACGTAGGATTTTTATAAAATATAAGATCGCGACATGTGTGACTTTTAAGTTTATGTTCATTAAGATCGTGACACGTGTATTAAGGAAAAAAAATATTTAAAAAAAAATATATTCTAAAAAACGGATAATTAAAAAAACGAAATTTAATTTAAAAAATGAAATTTAGTCTATTATATATTTTTTTAAAAATTATATTTATCATATCCTAACAGAAAAAGGTTTTCCCATTCATCAAATTTATATTTTCCAAATACATATTAATTTATAAAATAAGATTTAAAATAATGTAATAAATAAAATCCTATTAGTACATGAAATAGGTACGTAAACTAAATTTCTTATATCTACAAGGAATATATTATATGAACACCTATAAATACAAAGTTACAGTAGTCTCTTTTTTCTCATTCACAAACTCATCAAAGCAAATTCATCAAATTTCTTTGATTCTCTTTCTCTAATTTAAAAATCATGTCTTTGAAAGTTCAAGAAAACAGTGAAAATTATTTGACTCTAGGTCAATTGGATCGAAATCGAAATTATCGTCGTACTATAGTACATGTTATTCGAAAGTGGGAAGCTAGAAATCCTAAAGAAAATAATATTCTTATGGGGAGTTGAACTTCTACTACTGTACTTTGAAAAGGTTAGTAACATATCTTATTATATAAATCTTATTATATAAATCTTATTATATAAAGCTGGATGCGCGCGACGTGATTGCGACACATAGGATTTTTATAAAATTTAGGATTGCGACATGTGTAAATTTAATGTTATGTCCGTTAAGATCGTGACATGTGTTTTAGAAAAAAAGGAAAAAAATAATAAATAAAAAAAATAGATAAAGGAAAAAAACGAATTTTTAATCTTTTATAGTTAAAAGAAAAAAAAATTATATTTGTCATATCCTAATAGAAAAAGGTTTCCCATTCATCAAATTTATATTATCCAAACACATATAATATTCAAATCAATGAAATAAATAAAATCATATTAGTACATGAAATAGGTTAGGTAAACTAAATTTCCTATAACTGCATGGAATAAGTTACATGAACCACTATAAAAAAATAGTTAAAGTACTCTATATTAGTTGGATAGAAATCAAAATTATTGTCGGTACATGTATATATCTAACTTTATATCGGTTGGATAGAAATCAAAATTATTGTCGTTACATGTATTTGATCCGGTGAAGACATGTTAATTGGAAAAATGTTAAACAGATATAAAAAGTAGAAAAAAACAACTAATAGTGAAAATGAAAATTTATAATGGTCTGAGTCAAAAAACAAAATTGAGAAAGAAACAATATAAATAGAAAACTAACAAATTAATTATCAACCAACTAACTTTTTTTTTGACATCATCAAGCAACTAACTAATATTAAGAAAATATAATGAACCGATATTCTAATTTTAAATAGTTTAATTTTCATTATTGTTTGGTAAAAAATTATTAAATAAAGATTTCATCAATTGAAATCTCTTGAATTGAATAATAAAGCTTTGTTGAATTAATTAATCAGTTGATCATATTTAGACATATATAAGTCTTTCTATATTGGATAAAAATAAAAATAAAACAAATTAATTCATTTTTCATATCATGAATTCAAAAAAAATATCAATTACAATAAAAATGTAAAAAGGTTAATGACTTATTTTATTTAAATATTTTTATCGGGTTTTTAATATTATTCTGTTTACTTTAAAATGATCAAATTTGGTTTAATACTTTTTCATATTTATTACAAAATCTTAAAATAAACCCGCGTATATGCGGGTCTTAATCTAGTTATGTTATAAAATCAAATATGTCTTTATATACTAAATATAAATTAAAAACTATTATATTCTTTCCTTAATTGATAGTCACGGAAATTGGTAAATAAGGAAGGTACTCAATTCAATTATATCATATTAATTATTTTTAAAATCATTATATTTCTCCTATCATCTTTGTTTAACTTTATTTTAAAAAATGAATTTGAATCATCTATATAAAATTAGAATTAAAATCTCCATTTTTGTAAATGCTATGATTTAAATAATTTAAATAAAAATAAATCGCTAAAAATGTTAAAATCCCATATCAGATATGTCACTGATGGTTCAGAAATCTGTTATAAAAATGTACTAGGGTTGGACCCGCGCCCTGCACGGGGTGATATTTTCTTGATTTAGTTTTATTTTTAGATATCTTTTTACATAAGTATCATTCTAGAAAAATAGGGTCTTAGACAATAAAAAATATGTCAGTTTACATTAGACAAAATTTTGAGTGATGTATATTTTTTTATCCTGAATTGGAACATGACGAAATATTAAGTGACACAGTTGAATCCACATATATATCTTTTAATAAGTTTCAAATAGTTTTATATGGCATATATATTTAATATTTTTGATCAATTTTAAATAACTAAAATAGTTTTATACATTAAGTTATTAGATTTTATTATGATTTATTTATTTAGTTCAATTAAAGAACAAAATTAAATCAAATTAAAAAAATTAAAGTTTGGAAACCTAATAAATCAGTTTTTTTTTACTATGGTTGATCATTATTTGGATCTTTTTTTATAATAGGTTTTGAAATATGAGACTTTTAACAATTTTAGAGATTTCCTTCATCTTAAAATTTTCAAATCATAGCATATGCAGAAAAAAACATGATATAATTTATTTTTAAAATAGTAAAGTTACAAAAATAATAAGATAATAAATTAATTTTTAAACAATTAATATAATACAATTAAATAAAACTTTTCATATTTTACTGATTGATTGACTAATAAATACTTTTAAATTTATTTATAATTTTCCTCACTATCAGATAAGGAAATAGAAAAAAATAATTTTAATTAATCATTAATTTTCTGATTAGATTAATAATAAATATTTCAGCACTTGCCTAATAAAGAGAGGTTATTTTTAGAATATTTTGAGAGTGTGGCAAATTGCGACACCTCAGCATGACATATTTGAAATTAAGTTGAAAATAAAGAGATTTTTATAAATGTCTTCTCTTTTAATATATAAAGGATTTTTAAGAGTTTTGTGTAGCTTATGACTTAGACCGTTGATTGAATGTGAAATTAAAAAGATTTTGAATAATTATTCAATTTTCAAAACCTTTTGAACTAGCTAGAGTCTCTATGAGACTTTTAGTAACCCTATAATTGATAACCCTATTTCTAACTTGAGTACTCAAGCTAACGGCAACTCAAAGCTTTTCATGGTGAGGTTTCGATTGAAGCACTAAACAGAGGCATAGGTTTGGTGTAACATCCGTAAACCAAAAATGTGCAGTTTTGGTCGAGTGTCGACCGACACCACAGGTTTGTGTCGGTCGACACCAGCTCTGGTTTGCAATTTGCGGTTCGATTTAAGTGAAATCGATTTTCGGTTTAGGCTGGTTTGGGCTGGAAACCCTATTCCTCATGTTAAAACATGCGCAGCCGTCTTCCTTCTCCTCGGTTTTTGTCGTTTAGTGAGCAAAACGTGAAGGAGAAGAGAATTGGAGGCGATTTCGGTGTTGTGAGCTCAATCTAAGGCCGTTCATCGTCTATTGGAGGCTTGGGTTCGTGTGGCGGCTGCTGCGTGGTGGTTTCGGCGGTGTTCTTCGTCGTTTTCATTGTGCTTCTTCATCTCCCTTCGTTTTCCCCTTTTCAATCCCAAATCCGAGGTGAGTGCATGACTGTGGGTCCGTGATTGCTAGATTCAAGATATGTATGTGTTTATGTGGTGATTTCGTGATGATATTGATGTTTGATTCAGTGTTTATGGTTGTTTGATTGATTTCCTGTGAATTTCGAGTTTCGGGTACTGTTCATAGCCCAATCTGGGTTTTTCCAGAATCGGTGTCGGTCGACACCAAGCTGGTGTCGGTCGACACAGACCGGTTAACTCTGGTTAAAATCAGTTTAGTTGGTTTAATTGAATTTGGCTGGTTTAAATCAATTGGAGATTGGTTTAATCAATTTTGGTTGGTTTAATTCGTATTTAATTAATTAATAAGTATTTTAATTGATTAAATGGTTTAAAATAATTATTTTAATTATTTTAAAATATGGAAAAATTATTATTTAATTATGAGAATTATTTAATAATTGAGAAATTGAGTTTTAATTATTAAAAATTATTTAATAATTGGAAAATGGTATTTAATAATTATTGAGTTTATAATATTATTAAATATCTAGTAAATTGCGTAAATGGCTCGTAGGCAGAGTGATTGCCTCACTAAGTATTTATTAAATACTTACGCAACTCCATTCCAATGTGTTGCAGGTAAAAGATTTGTGTGATCGCGGAATCAAGGCTGAAGAGGGGATGATAGGATTTATTCTTTTTGCATTATTTTTGCTTGTTTTTGCTAGACTTGTTTAATTATTATTTGCTTCCGCTGAACTGATTTTTTTGTTATTGATATTTATTTATTTAATTTATTTTAAAGACCTTCGCTAGAATTGTTAGTATTTATTTAAAAAAAAAAAGTGTTGGTTGTTTCATTTTGGTATCAGAGCCTAGACGGTTTTAGGACTGTTAGAATTGCTAGGCTTTAGTATCATCCCCTTCAGCTACAGGAGATTCCGCGGTGAGTTTTGGTGTTTGTGTTTTTGTGTTATTGTCTAGTTGCTCATGTTCGGGTCCATGCAGTGAGATGGACGGAGCTCCTAGAGGTCGTGGCGCGAGAGGGCGCGGTGCTAGAGGCCGTGGTGGCAGAGTGGGCCGTGGTGGTAGAGCTGGAGGCCGAGCAGGCCGAGGTCGTGGTCGTGGACTTCCGGAGGAGTCGGGAGAGAGTGTGGCACCGAGTGTGCATACTGCGTCGGTGACCCAGTCAGTTCCGTTGGCGGGTGATGCCAGTGCGAGTGTTGGTTTGGGAGCGGGGGCTGCTCCGGGTGGGGGTGGCGCTCCGGCTCCGGGTCGTGATGACTTAGTGGTGGGGTTGCTGACGCAGCTATTGGCTCGTTTTCCGCCGGTGGTTCCACAGGGGGCTCCAGGAGTACCGCCAGTGGCAGAGGTGCAGCATGTTGCTGCAGACGTTGCGCAGCCGGAGGCTGTGGATGCGGGTGTGACCCGTTATTTGGAGTTTATGGGCCACATGCAGAGGATTGGTACGCCTTTCTTCGAGGGCAGAGTTGGTCCAGAGGAGGCAGACGCGTGGCGTCAGAGAGTGGAGCGGAACTTTCATTCGATCCGTTGTCCGATAGAGTACTGGGTGGAGTTAGCGGTCCACTATTTGAGTGGCGATGCTCATTTGTGGTGGCAGGCCGCGGTGGGTGATGTGGAGTCAGGTTTTACCAAACTCTAGACCTCTGCAAGTGCACAGATCGCGGAAGTATGGGTATCGAACACAAGGACTGGCTATTGAGTACACTTTGAAACTATGGATTTTGGATCAAGCTAAAACAAAAGTATGATTGAGGTTGTAATGGTGAACCGAACTAGCAAGTATAACGAGGTTGTAAATCAATAAAGGAAAAGCGCTAGGTCATAGGGGCTATCGCAGAGAAGCAAGCAATGATCAATGAAACAATGATAGATGAATTGATTAGGGATATTGGGATATTAAGAACCATCTAGAACACAGATCACGAATATAAAACCATTCCACTTTCGAGGCTCCGGCTCCTTTGTTAATCTACCTAGTCGCTAAACTTTTGGTATGTCCCTAGGTGATTAAATCAAGCTTTAGAATGAATAGGTTCTGATACAGTTCACTAGATTATAGATAGATCAACTTTCGCAGTCTAAGAAACCTAGCTTGTCAAAGAATATGTCCGGCGAATGATACAGCACTGTCGAGGCTCAAATCAACCTAAGATCGGATTACTAGATGCGCGGTAAAGCAATCAGCATTAGTTAAGTGCACAAGACGAGACAAAGACTCTAATATAATCCCTAGCTAATCATTGAAATCAAAGATCATGCAAGCAACTCATTGAATAGTAACCCTAGCAACCTAACTAGTGGATTACTCAGACATGATCAAAGCAAACACACATAGAGATGAAGAAAACATGATTGCAATAAAACTTAGAGTAGGAAATCGAAATACAAGGGCGGCTCTCTTTTCACAAGAGGCTAAAAAGCTATATATATAGTGCTAGGTCTTTTGAGGCGGCTTAGGGTTAAGCCGGGCTTGAAAATATGAAATCGGGCTTCAAAACGGGCTTCGGGTCGACCGCGGCGTTGGGACGGTCGGTCGGGACGATCGGCCGGAATCGGGTCGTGGCCGGTCGTCGGAACGGTCGTGGCCGGACGGATTCGGTCGGCCGCTGTGGTCGGCGGATGAGATTGGCCGATGAAATTCTCGGCCGGACGCGGGACGTTTCCCGGCTCGGACGGATGCATCGGCCGTGGTACGCGAGACAGTTGCGCGGCCGCGAGGCTTGTTCCCGGCTCGCGCGCTTTGGTCGTGCGCGGTGTGGCGTGAGCGTTGTGGCTTGGCCGACCGCGGGACATGTTTCCCGGGTCGTGATGCGTGATCGGCCGAGGTTTGGACTTTGGCCGAGACTTCAGACGGACGGACGAGTTTGGCCGAGCGCGAACATTCGTTCCTCGGCCAGCCGGACTGCGCGGTTTGGGCGCTGATTCTCGATAGAGCCGTCTGGACAGTCTTCACTCTTTTGGTTGTAACTCCTTTTCTACTCATCCAAATTAGGCCATTCCAGTTGCGTTGGAAAGTTAACTCAATCAGAGCACGCAGGGAACTGGTCTTGATGAAATCCATTGAGTAGATCTTTTTCTGGGCCCTCTTAAAGTTGGTGCTTGTGCATGGAGCGGCTTGAAGTGCAAATCCTATGGTTTTGCTCCAAAATGCATCATTTCACCTGTTTAGACTCTAGACACTATAAACACAGTAAAACTACCTTTTTAGATAGAAAACCTGCCAAAAACCATTAGAAAACAATGCTAAAACAGTATAAAAAGTGTAAATTAGAGGTATATCAACTCCCCCAGACTTAGATCTTTGCTTGTCCCCAAGCAAAAAGAATCTAAATCCGTGAAAGAGGTTTGAAAACGTGGAAGCTCCCTTGCTCTTTTGAATATCCTGTGAAAGGTTCCTTTCCTGTATTCCACTAAGAACATAGACAACATAAGGTTAGCTTCACATACACCCTGCAAGTTTAGCGAACAATACCAACCCAACTAGTCTCATCCAGCAATCCAAACTCTCTATTGCTAACCTCTTGCATAAATTTAAAGCGTGAGTTCTTTATCAAGGGGACATCGATCAATTGAGCTTGTTCTTACCCACTTGATCTTCTCCAAGATTGTCTTTGAAGTGCAATGAGTTCTTTTCCTCTCTCTTTCTCACATCAGAACTTTGAAAGGTCAATTTCTCCCTACTTTTCTAGGGTATCATTTTATTTTTTCTATTGACCCTTCTTTCAACCACAGGATAAGTCTTTAGCTTGTTCCTTGTTTGACTAAGGTATTCCATAAGACATGAAGGTACAGACATATGCATTCCTCATGCTTACTTGTTTTCCTTGTGCTCTTTGAGCTTTTTCTCATAAAATTACCCATTTGGGATGGGAGAGAGAGGAGAACTCTTTAAAGATTAGACAAATCTTATTGAAAATCAAGCAAGGAACTGTCGACATGTATGCCAATCCCCTTGACAAGAGTATTAAGATTGATTAAGGGTGAGGTTAACTCTAGATTGCTTGGTTACCTTAGAAATTTTGCTGAGCTAGCATGTCGATCCACTGTAAGAGCTTCTGTTAGGCTTGTGCCTTTAGCTGGTTTCTGCTCTAGGGTCATGGATTGTTAGCACAACACTCTCAATTCTCAAAGCAAGTTCATAACTTCCGGACTGGTTTTTGACTCAATAAAACTTTTTGAAAAACATGAAACAAAGTGAATAAAACATAAGAAAAGAAAGAAAAATGCATTAGTAACACAATAAAACTCCCCCCAGACTTAACTTGCACCGTCCCGGTGAAAGCAAATCACATTAAGGTGAGAGGTAATATTCAAAGTAAAAGAAAAATAAAGAAAATTCATTAAAATGAGATAGGGATAGAAAATGGAGATTTGTAAGTGTCCATTGCACTAAGTACCACTTGAGATGACTATGTGTGGCAGTGAGAAGAACTCTCTTCCTCTTCTATGGGGTCATCGCCTTCTGAACCAAGCTCTGAGTCTAGTGAGAACTCACCAAGGTCAGGCTCATATGGTTCTCTAGCGGTGGAAGAAGGGCGAAAGAGTCTCTCCGGTGCAATGTGGCGAACTACACGAACTAGGCGTGAGATGAAGCGAGATTGGCACTCCACGATCTTCTCCAGCTTGCTTACACGGTCTAGAGCCTGTTGTGCGCCTGCCGCCCCGGCCCCCCGCCGCTACGAGGCGGCTCCCCGCCCGCCCTGTAGGCGCCCCCCCGTCCCCCCCGCCTCCCCCCTTGACCGATGAAGCGAGATTGGCATTCCACTATCTTCTCCAGCTTGTTAACACGGTCTAGAGCTTGGTGCGCAGCCATGCCAGTAGTTAGAACATGGCGTTCTTGGAGGCGGCGTTGAGTCTTGACTGCATGCTGAAGTGTGCGATAGGTGAGCATGGGGAATGATGGTTTCTCACTTGATAGAACATAGAAGTCTTCCTCATTGGGCTGGAAAGTGACAACTCCTGAGCGTAGGCTTGGGATGTCTTCATGTGGCAGCAAGACAAGGGAAGTGTTGGCTGGACCAATTGGAAACTCATAGCAAAACCGAGTTGGGTTTTTAGTCCAACGGTTTAGGAAGTGGATATGCTGAAGAGCATGGAGATCCAAAGGGGTTGGCTTGGGTAGTGGCTCATAGTTGGGAATGTCAATCCCCACATGGTGTACTATGGCCGTGATAAGCCTCCCAAAACAAACACAAAGCTTCTTGTTGCCTTCCAAGTCTTTAGCTAGCTTCCTCACATTGATAAATGTCTTGGCAAGTAAAAGACCAAGGTTTGCCTTGTACTCATGCTTGATGAATGGTGTGGTGAGGATGTAGAACTCATCAGTTGTGACCTTGTTGGCTTCTTGTTTGCATTGGAAAGTGGTGGAGATGAGGCGGTGCACGTAGCGAATGGCTGGATGAGTGATTCTAGACACCTTTGATCTTGAAGGCAAGAATGGTTCATTGGCAAAGTGTGTCCAATCAGCAAAGGCTTGTTTCCTCTTTGAGTTCGCCTTGAAGTCATGTGCTGTCTTGATATACCTCTAATTTACCCACTTTTTATACTGTTTTAGCATTGTTTTCTAATGGATTTTGGCAGGTTTTCTATCTAAAAAGGTAGTTTTACTGTGTTTATAGTGTCTAGAGTCTAAACAGGTGAAATGATGCATTTTGGAGCAAAACCATAGGATTTGCACTTCAAGCTGCTCCATGCACAAGCACCAACTTTAAGAGGGCCCAGAAAAAGATCTACTCAATGGATTTCATCAAGACCAGTTCCCTCCGTGCTCTGATTGAGTTAACTTTCCAACGCAACTGGAACGGCCTAATTTGGATGAGTAGAAACGGAGTTATAACCAAAAGAGTGGAGACTGTCCAGACGGTTCTATCGAGAGTCAGCGCCCAACCGCACAGTCCGGCTGGCCGAGAAACTATTGTTTCGCGCTCGGCTAAAGTCACACCTGTCCGACTGAAGTCTCGGCCAAAGTTCGAAACCGACCGGCCGATCATCCAGCACGACCCGGGTTACTATTCAATGAGTTGCTTGCATGATCTTTGATTTCAATGATTAGCTAGGGATTATATTAGAGTCTTTGTCTCGTCTTGTGCACTTAACTAATGCTGATTGCTTTACCGCGCATCTAGTAATCCGATCTTAGGTTGATTTGAGCCTCGACAGTGCTGTATCATTCGCCGGACATATTCTTTGACAAGCTAGGTTTCTTAGACTGCGAAAGTTGATCTACTATATCTAGTGAACTGTATCAGAACCTATTCATTCTAAAGCTTGATCTAATCACCTAGGGACATACCAAAAGTTTAGCGACTAGGTAGATTAGCAAAGGAGCCGGAGCCTCGAAAGTGGAATGGTTTTATATTCGTGATCTGTGTTCTAGATGGTTCTTAATATCCCAACATCCCTAATCAATTATCTATCATTGTTTCATTGATCATTGCTTGCTTCTCTGCGATAGCCCCTATGACCTAGCGCTTTTCCTTTATTGATTTACAACCTCGTTATACTTGCTAGTTCGGTTCACCATTACAACCTCAATCATACTTTTGTTTTAGCTTGATCCAAAATCCATAGTTACAAAGTGTACTCAATAGCCAGTCCTTGTGTTCGATACCCATACTTCCGCGATCTGTGCACTTGCAGAGGTCTAGGAGTTTGGTAAAACCTGACTCCACATCATGTCTCATTGGGAAGTCCAAAGAGTTGGCATAGAGCTGAGATGGAGATGCGCCCATTGGCATCGCCTATCTTGAAGAGTAGGAGTCCTTCCAGCTGGTTGGTCTCCATTGTGGTTGGGAAAGGCAAGAGCTACTGTGGAGAGGAACTCCTTGGTGAGTTGTGAGTACTCACTACATTCTAGCTTGAAGAGCTTGCTCAAGCCTAGCTTCCTTATGTACCATGTGACATCATCTCTTATCTTGAGAAGATCAAGGGTTTGGGTGTCCATCTTCACACATGGCTCGATGTTCACCTTCTCCATTGCCTTCTTACACTTTCTTGGGTCTTGATTTTGTTCTCCAACAAAGGTTACAAGTGCCCAATCATCTTCTCCTCTTGGGACTCTCCACATGTTCTTGACTTGCATCAATGGAATGTGGTGAAGTTGGTATTGCTGCTCTTGCATTGGAGCTACTACTCCCTAGCTTGATTTGCTTCTTTGGTGGTCCATGAATGGGTTCTTCTTCTTCTTCATACTCTCATTTCCTTTTGTCTTTGCCATTGTGTACCTACAAGAGCAAATTCTTGGGAAGAAATATGAGTTTGTGATTAATGCAAAAGAAGAATAAGCTAATTGAGTTGCAATAATGATATGGAATAAAGGAACAACTCAAGGCTTAATCATGAATCAAAGAGACAAAATAGAAATTTCACTTTTTCAAAATTAATTTTCGGATTTTACTGTTCATCCAAGATTATGGTGCTTAAAATCAAAATTTTCAGCAAATCAAGAGAAATTGAGTTTCTAATCCAAGTAATCACTAGATAAACTAATGAATTGAAGTATGCTAAGCAATTTCACCTTTGAATAAGGGGTTTGGAATGCCCAATAAGTTTTGTGAAAAACTATTCAATTGTGAAATTAAACTTCAAATTAACTCTAAACCACCTAGGTTCCACCTAGCAAGTTCATTACAAGACTATAAGGATGCTAATTTCAAGTCTAGACAAGAGTTTAGACCAAACATGAAACTTATTGAAATTTTCGATCTTGCATAAACATAGGATTAGAGTTAGAAGACATACCTTGTGTATTGAAAAGTGAATAAGGTTGCAAGAGCAAGTAAATTCCAATTTAGAGTTATGAACAGTAAAAGTTTTGAAATCAAAACTCTTAGAGTTCCTCTAATGGAGTTTAGGGTTTTGGAGAAGAAAGAGAGGTTCTTGTGGTTTTCAAGGGAAAGGTGAAGTAAATAAGATCTAAATCCTATCAATTTTCCTTTTCAAATTCGAATTTTGATTGAAAACCGGTTTAAGTTGGTTTAGAATTGGTTAAAACCGGTTTGAATTAAATGAAAAGGGACTTACCTTGGCCTAGAAAAGTTTTGGCCGATGGCCGATGGATTTTGTCGCGGTCGAGCGATTTGGTCGGCCAAAATTTGTTTTGGCCGAGAGATTTCGGCCGAGGCCGAGCGTTTGTTTCCCGGATCGACCGTAACGGTCGGTCCGTTCCGATACGCGAATCCGGCCGAGCGCAAACCGTTTCTTGGGGCTCACGTCTCATATGGTCTTAATTGACAGAAAATAAACAAATTTGATCTCCTCTAATCTATCTTAGTCTCCAAAGTTTCATTATTTACAGATATGCCATTAATGAATCTGACTCAGCATTAAAATTAAACTAAAATAATTTTTTTAATTCAACCAATGAGATTGAAGAGATATGGGCCCCACGATTTGCTGTGAACTTTTCTTTCTTGCCGCCAAATTGATCTCTATGCGACACGTGTCTTTTTAATTTAACATTATTTTTATTATTTTCAACTAGTTATCCATTAAAATAACGACACGTGGCATTTAAATATTTTTTTGTTTTTTTATTTAAACCAAATTTACACACAGTTATACCCAAGATGTCAGTTGTACTCATCTCTAAATAGTTGTACATTAGAAGTTAAAATTAGTATATAATTGTACATACTCTAATCTTTATAATTTTAGATTGTACTGGTAAGTAATATTTTTATCTTCTTTAGGTAACTATGTAATCAAAATTTTAATAACACATTATTAGCATCTGTTGCATCTTTATATGATATCTATTAACAAACTAACCATGAAAGTATAAGATATATATAGTTAACTCTTGACCATAAAATTTTTTTTTATCAAAACTCTATTTACTAAATAGATATATTGTAAGTTAAGTTTTGTTTTCATTTACTCATGTACTTTATATTTTTTTATACATCCAAATTTCACTTAATAAAACAAAATAACTAATAAATTTAAATACATCTTATTAGGAGAAATATTTAGTAAGAACTAATACAATATTATTAATAAAAAATAATAATGACATTCATTTCCAAATTTGAGAATGGTAAGAGCAAAAAATACTATGCTCCAAAGTCTAAAAAAAATGAAATTATCTCACAATTTGGCGATGAATCCCAGTTAAACCAATAGTTAGTGTAACATTTGAAACCAATCTCATCTTCCCTCAGCATGACACGTGTTGTATTAATTGGGTCAATTTTGGTGGCAACTCTAAAATTATTTTCCTCATTTTCTCCCAAATTAATTAAAAACAAAATCCATTTTTTATAAGTCAATTTCAAGTCGCATTTATATGAAACAGCGTGTTCTGTATGAATGAGTCATATTCAAATCCTTTTTGATAACTTTCTTGTGCAATTTCATTGATTCCAAATTTCCAATTTCATCCCATCACGAGCTTGCCCAAGACTAGCAAAAGAGAGATTCATGGGCATCCATCTAAGGAAATGAGAGATTTATGGGAATTCATAAATTATATTGTTCTATACAAATGGGTTCTTGTGGCATAGATTTAATCGGAGTAATGAGTGTTGCCAACTAAAATCCGTCGGAAATTTCTAGTCACAACACAATTTCAAACATCTTGAACATCTGCAATTTTTGAAAAACCAAACAAATTTAAAACCCACATTTTATTCATCCAAAATTGATTTTGAACCTTTTTTATTTTCTACTTTTTTCAAACTGAAACTTAATTATTCTATAGGAGATGAAGTGGTTGACTCAAATTATGTTGAATTGGGTATAAACAAAAGGAAGAATTTTACCCAGAAAAAAAGAAAAGTAAAAGGAAAGAGAAGAGGACGAAAGAGAAGGGATGGATGGAGTTGTGATTTTCATGGATTTGACTCAGCTACATTCGGGTCATGGGTTTGGGTGGGTAATGCAATGGTTGGGTCGTAATATTAATGAAGTTAGAAGGTTATTTGGACATTCTACAATTCATTGATTTAAAGAAAAGGTTTAATAAATTCTAAGTTATAAGGAGGGTAGACTAGAAGCATTTTGCTCAATTAAGACTATATGAGCCATTGTTCC